GTACATCCCAAGACACAACATTTCTGCAATTTTGATCTGATAGAGCTTGTAGTTACTTGGAAATAGATTTATCCAAAACTTCAAACTAGTCACTCATGTAGAAAATGTAATTCAGTTTTAGCATCTGAAGCTAGGTTGCGAATTCCCTGTTGAACCATCCATGAACAGTCTTTGCCATATTTTTTTCAGCACATGCCCTTCAGTCAGGTGTATCCACTAATTATAGCAGCCCGAACAAATATTTAGAAGTCCCGAGTTTTGTAAAGTATTTTATCATTATTTGCTAGCACTCTTGAGCGATAGCAACTAAGTTAGTGAATATATTTGAAATATGCATGCTCGACTTCACGGTCGGGGTTTCTGGGAAAACAACTGTTGATAGACTGTATAACATTTCGTTTTGTCAAACAATAATAGACATGATCCAAATTTAAACTGGCCTTTCCCATCTGATTAGCTGCAATAATGTAGCCCTCTCCGATTTTTTTTTTTTTTTTGGGAGAGGGCTACAACTCCTTAGGATCTCTATAATGGCGCAGATGCGGCAGTGGATCACTCCCGCACGGATTTCGGCTCAAATTATCAGTAAACGGCTATTTTATTATCATCTCTTACCTGGAATCCAAATATGTAATTATGCAAAACATAAATCGATCCAAAAATATTCACAGCGATCCATATATCGGTTATTTTACGTGTGTGTCAACAGCTTAACTTGAATTTATCCGCCATGTTTACTGACCTTGATGGATTGTATTTTGGGACAGCCAATGAGAATTTAGGTTCTATAGGAGCGGATCTACTAGGAATTCCCTTATTTTAAGCATACGTATCGCTGTTTGCGCAAAAATAACACTTGAAATGGTCTTATTTATCGATGTTTTTGTAATATATTATAGCACAATCGTTTATAAACATCGACATTTGCTTTATTTGGTTGTTCCAAATTTCAAGCGAAAGTCTCACTACGTCACGCGTGAACTGTCATGGCTGCTGGGAAAGACACAGATTTATTTTACATGGTTTTCGAGTTTAACAGGCTATGTTGTTGACAGTGAATAAAAATTCCGTCTTATAAGAAGTAAGTTTAATGTAAAAATAATTTATTTTGCCTCCAATCACCCGTATCAAAAAAATATATTTGCACCATTACGGAGATGCGATGGAATTGTAGCCCTCTCCAGAAAATATCAGATAAAAAAATCGGAGAGGGCTACATTATTGCAGCTACCATCTGATAAACTCGATATACATTTCGAACACTAAAGAAATGCAAAAATTGTCATCAGGGGAAATGTAAAAGGAACAGAAATTCCATTTTTTTTCTTTTGCTTAAAAAAATTGGTTGAACAAATCCATAAACCAACTTAAAAAAAAAAGGCCTCATTATGTTTATGTTTTGATCATGTTACCACCTACAGCCTACTCCGGATATATCGAAATTCAGGGGACCATGCAAATTATTTCAATATATCCGTAATTCAATATAAGCGAAATCCTGAAGCTGCCATTTTAAAAGTTCAATCCCGATCTAAAATAAAGAAGAACATACCCGAACAAATTAATTTGGTCATCGTTTCTCTATAACAGTGAACAGATAACATGGTATATTAGTCCTAGAAAGTTTAAATAAAATTGTTTCTTTCTGTTACATTGAAAAGACAGTCTTCAACCTCATTATTATTCCCCAATCACATTTATTTACGTTTTGGAGAAAAATCACCAAACTAAAACGGATAAGTACTGCTGAATGTTGCTTGTTATGTATTTCATCTTAAGTGTACTCATCTATTTCGAATTTAGCCATTAACAGTACATATTTAATTCCAAAGTAAAAGGATTTTTCTAGATCTGTGGGAGTTACTATATTACGTTTAGCCTCAATATGTTCGTATAATATAAGTGAAAACAAAGAATTTAACAGTGAATAATTTTATTTTGTAAGAGCATGCAGGTGAAAACTTAATTATTCACATCTTTGTATATCAACTAGTCAATCAGGCATAATTTCTGTCACCAACTATAACGACAGCCACCAGGGAGTACTTCAATATAATCGTTATGAAAACAACTTATTATCACCTGTTGGGACCGATCAGTGGCTTCAATATATGCAATATTTCAATATGGTCAATTTTTTTTAATATAACCGTTATTTTAATGCAAACTGAAAGAATACGAGAGAGGCAAAAACTGAGGATTTATTTTTATTTCAAAATAAGCGATTTTAATATAAGTGGAGTAAGCTGTATTTGGATGTTTGTGTTGCATTGTTATCCTTCGGAAATGTTATTCATGTCATTGAACACATCTGTTAAAATCTGTTAAAAATTCATCTGCAACAACTATCATGTTTTTCTTGTAAAAAAAATAAACAAAGTACCTTTGTTTTATAACAGAATTAATTGTATTTACAATTGATGCAAATCTAATTTCCAAGATTTCATTCAATTGTGAACATTTTCAAAGAAACTGATGTATTGCTTTTGCAATTTTCTTTTGAGGATGCATCAACTGACACATTCGTTCGCATATGTTTTGGTAAAGATTTCAATCCGATGCCAGATAGATAACATTCAAGCTCTATAGAGCTCGATGCCATAAAAAAAATCCCTTTAGATAGTCTACTTGTGTGCCAAGCAAAGAAATCAGACCAAGACTGTAGAAGGAGTAGCATTTTGAAAAATTCTTTACAGACAGAAAATGATGGACACCTTACTATCGCATACAATCTTCTGGTCTCTGACCAGTAGAGCTAAAATTTTGAAGTACTAGTAAATGTCAATTACACACAAACATGAAAATTATCCTCTATTTCAAAATTTTTTTTCTAGGAAACAGACAAATGGCCTATGGGCCCAGTGATTGGGAAGGGCTTGCGCCACGCGCCATAGTCGCATTGAAGTGAAAAATGGCGCATTAAATCATTCAATGTTTGCGCCAAGGTGCGCATTCAATTTTTAGCGATCTTATTTGGAAACATTTTGCGTTTGACATCATTACTTGTTTTACTTTCATTTTATTGCAATCAATTTTAAAACAACAAATCTCATTGGTGGAATACCGCAAAAAAACTGCTTCCGCTTTATCAAAGCACCTAGATTCGGTACATTACGACATTTATTTGTAGGGTAGGATGTGTTCAATCCAAATTGCGATGTAATTCAACGCAAAATACGGATAAAATTATCTTATTTGCGGTTTTATTTAAATTTGGAGCATTGCATGTGTTCAAAATTAGATTCGAATCCGATCGGTTCATTAAAAACGTGTTTTCTTTCGTACTTCACATTTGTTTGTCATTTTGTTGTTTCTTAAAATGGCCCCTCAGATTATTTGGATGGCCCATTCATTTTCAAAATGGCCCATTGAAATTTTTGACAGTTGCGCCATAGTCCCATTGACCATTTTGGCCTTCCCAATCACTGTGGGCCACACAGTCATAACAGCAGGTTTTTTTCTCATGTAACCAGTACTGATAAACGGTACCACTGCCAATGCTGAAATCGTTATTGTTTCCCAATGAGACTAAAAATTTGAATTTCAACTACCAAATACAGTCTTATCATATATACAAAATAATACCTGAAGTGAGAGATAAAAAATTGGCGGCGTAAATCAAATGTTTTTACAATGCATGGATCTGTAGCTCTCTGCTTTATCTGTCCTAATTTTCTCAAGCAGAGAGTTACAATTCTGCAGCTCCTGCAGCTTAAGAGGGAGCTTTAATAACTTAAATTTCAAATAAACAAGAACAATCAACAAGTCAAAAAATAATACATTTTATTTTTGAAGCATTTTGGTAAAAAATACTAACTAGTTTATCAATTATAATGTTGTTATCTTACCATTTATAACCCATTTACCTGGTGATTCAAAAATACCCAAAAGTGATTCGCAATACAAAGGTGTAAATATATAAGACTCCAAAGTCCAATGGTGACGCCAAAGTCCAAACAGTAACCATGTATTTCATATTTATTTGTATTTATTTAGGATCTTGGCATGGCGGGGCAAATAGGCGCAGTAGTACCATGACGTCATAAACTTTTTTTGGTTTTCTGCACCATCAGACTTTGGCTTGTCGAACCAGCAGACTTTGGCGTGACCATTGGACTTTGAAGTCCCATCCCATTTTGGAGTCCTAGAAATAACCCTGTCAAGGCCACTGTATCAAAGATAGTCTCGCCCTGTAATTTGGCTTTCCTTTGATATGGTACCAAATAACCATCTATAAATTTTTAGATAAAATCGTGTGCTGTCAAAACGTAATCATGATACTGAATGCAGGGAAATTTTCGTCACTGTTTTATTTTCACACCCTTTCACCCTACCCTCATTTGGGCGAATTAAATACGAGGGGGAATTTAAAGAATAAAGTAAAATTTCTTAAACTTTAAATGGGACAAAATTGCAAGCAACTGTGAAAGGGTGAAAATAACATGGGGCAAAAATAAACCTGTAAACAGCAAGTGATTCAGAATACCCTAATTGACTGTAACATAATAAGCCAAAAAAAACTCATATTTGAGACGGTCTATAAATTTATATTTATTAGGGCCTAATACAAAAGATAGAGCGCACTCCTCCTAACGGTTTCGCCGTCCAACCTTTTTTTCTATATTATTTACTAGTATTCTAACGATGGCCACTAAATCTATGCTTTGTTTAAAACGCCTTGAATGCTTGATCCGCCTATACTCAGTATGTGCTTGTCCTTGCATGCTTCATGTTTTCAGATGCATTTCACACCGTCACTTTTATTATTATTCATTAAGCTTTTTAAAAATCAAAATACATGTTACACTCTGTACATAATATTCATAACTCAAGCCAAAAACAGTGTACGAGTAGTCGAGCACATTAAAATGACTTGCACAATTTACCACGCCGACTCGTAGCTTATGCGCGAAATCAAATGACCAACCAAATAATTGTGAATGTACCTTACATGTGATCTTTAAGAAATGATTATAACATTGAAATAATTTATGTAATACCTAAGAAGAAACTGCATTGGTGGAAAGACGGACTTGGTCTTTTTCTTTTCCTTGTGCACTGGTATGGGTTTTACAAAATGGCCGCAGCGTGGGTCCGATCGTCAATTTTCGGCAAATTCCGTGAAATCATGTGACTTTACTGAGAAAGCAGTTTAGTCGGTAGATCACGAAATACTCGATTTCATGCTAAAGGGTAAATGACAGGATGAGACGATAGCATGATTTATATGACATTTTAGCGGAATGAAAGCAATAGGATGTGGCTACTTTTTTAGCAGCGAAAGAATTATGTCAAATATATGCATATCCCGTGAAGTCTGTTGCCCCCTACCCTCAATGGTCAGTGCTGAGCTAGGGCCGGAGGTGGAACTTGACATTAACTGATTTTTAAAATACTGTTTTACACTTTTATTAATACAGTTACTATCTTTTCGGATAAGAACTTTTAAGAAATTATAGGACATCTCCGAGAACGTCATAAGATTTTTGTAAGAGGTTGACGAAACATCAACTCAAACTCTGTAATCTGATTTTTTTATGCTTTATGTACACCTTTTTTCTTTTCGTTTCTTCGTTCAGCTCACCCATTATTTTCAGTTAATCTGCTATACTGGTCAATTTATGCTGATTGTTGTTGTAAAGAAATATCATTATCTCTAAAGAATTCACCTAAACCTGAAACTATATTTTAACAGAAAATTTCTTTTCCCTTAAAATGTCAGCTAACGTATTAAACATGTACGCTAGTCTTGCTTAATCTCTTGCTAAAATGCCTATATGCACAGCTGTAGAAATTCTGCTAATATACCTATTCTCTTTAGAAAACTGAACTGTGAAAGGCTTTCACCTATATCCATGTCGGCAGATATATGTCAGTAGCTCTCTGCTTTTGAAAATTCGGACAGACAAAGCAGATCGAGAGCTACAGATCCAAGAAAGCCACTGTATTTGCAAAGATTGACACAATATAGGCATTGAACATTTGGGCGTAAGTTATTTAGACCCCATCCTCACCCCACTTTCAATAGGCAAAGGCAGTTTAGTCTGTGTTTGAAAAAAAAATGGTATACCTTACACCCTTACAGTTTACACTTTATGTTTGCATCCGACGCAAATTGCAAGCGTGTGTTAAACCTTCGTGTGTGTGTGTATATCCCATTTATTTAAATTTACTCCTATTATTTGGGGCAAGCGTATGTTCTTGAAAGATATTTTATGCACGACCAAGATGGACATTGGAAGAGTTTTTCAAAACAGTCATTTAAAAACTAGAAAGGGTTGTTTGGCACCATTATTTTCATGCTAGATAACAGGCTATCATTCTTAAAGCGCGGGGGGGGGGGGGGGGGGGGTTGAGAGCGGCAAAAAAGCGGCGGCGTAAATCGAAGGTTTTTTGCAACTCACGCTCTGTAGCTCTTGGGCCAGTTTTACAAAAGAACTTACGACTATATAAGACAAAAAAAAATTCAGATTGTTGCAATATTTTGCAAAATTAATATTTCTCTTTGAAATTGTTTGTGTAAAATTATCATACCACATTCCTTTTATAAAGTTTAAAATAATTTTCGATATATTGTTTATTAAAAAGTAATACAAAGAATTAAATTTGGTCTTAAGTCGTAAGTCCTTTTGTAAAACGGGCCCCATGCTTTATCTGTCCGAATTTTATCAATCAGAGAGCTACAGTTCTTTAGATAAGTCTCTTTCAGTAATTCAATTTACATGAAGTGCATAGATTTTAAATGATTTCTAATCCATTCCGGTGTTTAAACTTTATATAATTAATCGGTTAATTTTTGAATCAGGGGTTTCGGGTTATCACATCATTAAACTAAGCTATTTGCATGAACCAGTAAATAGTACATAGGAAAATAATATATTGAGAGAATTATATGGGTATCCGTTTACAAACCCATTCAGTGGATTTCACACATATCCAGAGCTTGGTGAACATTGTGAGAATATCCGTTACAACTCTCATACACTGCACTTGATGTTTGCGTCAAATCAGATAAAAGTTACACAGGAATTGTAAAAGGGGCCAATTTCATTAACATTGGGCATCCTAGAGTGAGTAACTTCTGAACTAAACAATTAAAAAAAATTTGTTTAAAGCATATCCGTTTTTTAGATGAATTTTTGATAAAATATCGGAGATGATCATGACGGAAAAATACATTGTACGGTTATTTAAAAAAATAGCTTTTTATCTCCAAGCCCGTAGCAACGGTTTCAAAAGGGGAAGCACCCCCACCCATCTGACAAGTAAAATATAAAAGCCTCGTTAATAGTCCAAGTCGTGGAATTTGTCAGTGCTCGATCTTACAACTAAAAAAAAAAGGGGGGCATAAAAAAAATTCAAAAAAAAAAAAAAAAAAAACGTTGACAAGCAAAAAAAAAAAAAAAAAAGGAATGTGGGCCCATTGTCCACACACGAAAACCCTTTTCGTAGGGGGGGGGGGGGCGGATCGAACTTCTTTCAGTACCAATTTTTTTCCTGAACACTACCACTTACCTTTTTCAGTTTTGGCCTAAACCGTACCGTCCCCTGTTGAAAGGGGAGGGGGGTACACTTACTAGACATTATTCCAATTTAAAGATATACAAAAAGATTAATATTATTTAATTATTTTCAAAATAATGTTACTTGAAAAGTTTTGGTCTTTTGAAAGATAAATTTCCCGCCAAAACCGAAAGACATTCGGGGATCTTCTGCTTTTTCCCCTGTAGTGAATCCCGGAAGCGCGGATTTTTTTTTTTGACAGAATTCAGGAAGTGAGATGTAGTAGATCGGTTGTTTTTCTTTGTGTCAAAGAAGTAAATATGATTCGACCTCAAATATGAACGGAAACCGAGAATCTCGAAGTTCAAATTCCTACGACTGGACTCAAGATATCCAGTTACATGGTTTGTTGTATAAGAAGCCGATAAATCACCAGAGTAACAAATGGACAAAAAGGTATGCCTTACACCTGTTTGATAAATACTTCCTTACTAAGATCTAGCAAGACAGTCTGGTCTCTATAGACAGAGTTGAATCTTTCTGAATTTAAACTCTGATTTCTGTTTTATTTTTGTTATTCGATTTTATTAAAATTTGATATATAGCATATAGCAGCATGTAAAAACAACACAATATTGCATACAGACAGCACTGGTAGACATCAAGGTAAAGATAATTTACAGCTCTTGAAAATAATTAAGGAATACTTTGAAAAGTCTGATGATACTAGCCCCCCCCCCCCCCATTAAACACAACATGTGACACACAAACCTTTCTCTCTGTTTACACCTATGTCATGTTCAGTGTGTGATATAATCATGCAAACTTCATGTAATATTTACTTAATTAACCCACAGGTTTCCCCTCTACAGACCCCCGGGCCTGTTAGACTTTTTTTCACATAAATTATATATGGATGACATATTTGTGATATAATCTATCCTATCAATTCAGAAAATTTGCTTAAACTTACATTTTATAAAAATAACCCTCTCTATATATAAATTAACAAGGTTGCCAACTTCGTCTGCAAACCGAGAGGCACTGCCGAGAATTTTGGTTGAATCGTCTCATAAATCTAAACAAAGCCCTAAAATCAAAAACTCATATTGTAGATTGAATATTCTTTTCATTAACCACCAACTCTCATGAAGGTTAAGGCACTTTAACAGTCGTTATGACCAAGTTTACGAAAGGAGGTCAGGCTACAGTTAGCGTTTTTGCTTAGTGAACGGAAGTGACGAGGAGACGACTTTTTACCAAAATACACAGTTCTGCAGAAAGTCTGAGACACTGTTTTGAAGTAATCATTTGAAGAAATTTGGTTGATATACACTAAAAAATGTCTTTCAAATGTATTGGGAGAATAGAGTTCTAACCCGCTTTGCAAATGAAATGTCTCTAATTATTATTCAAATACCTGATTTGCATGTGAGAGTTATGCCCTTTTAAAAATGCAATTTATCAAAATATCTTCTTTTCCTTAAATATTTGTGTAAATCTACAAAACGTTTGAAAATAAAATTATTATGAAGAATTCGTACAAAAACACAAGAATATATCCATTGTTGATATTTTACACGCATATTTGGGTATATGGGGAACATCGGGAATTAGTCCTCTCCTCATTACTTCCGTTCGTTAAGCTTTTTACGGAGTTGGCAACCTTGTTGATTTTTATATAGAGAATGTAGGGTAGATTTAATAGAACGTTTGTTTTAGGTAATTTTTCGATTTGCTGGTATATATCTTATCACAAATATGGCAATGAAAGATTTTTTATAAGAAAAAAATCGAAAAAGCCCAGGGGTCTATATCGAAGGGGGGGGGGGGGGTCCTGTCCTCAAGCACCTGTGAATTAACCCCATTTATTTCACATTCACAGGACAATGTTTTTTTGTTTTGGTTTTTTTTGTTTTGTTTTTTTTTTTAAAGTTTGAACACTTTGAAGTGTAACTATGAAACTTGCATAATAATCTCATAGCTTTAGAAATATGTCCACTCTTCGAACTGTCAGTCATACACATAAATGGGGGTCATACTTATTAAGCCACAATACCCTATAATATCATGTGGTCACACTCCATTGATTTATTAATTTGGCATTAATATTTGTCATGGTTCATTGATCAAGAAGTCATAAACAATGTACACATGTACTATCCATCAGAGGTAGAATACTGTTTAATTCATTGGGATTTTTTGTTGTTTTGTTTCTTTCTTTGTTCTACTTCCCTTTGAGCAGGGAGGGCAGATGCTCTGAACACCTGCACTGCACCATGCAGGTGACTCGGGCTTTCAAGACAATCCCCAGGTATACATGTATCATAAGACAGTTCCATAGACTTCTGTTCAGATGAATCTGAATAAAATGACTGAAAGATAAGACATGTATAAGAAAATTATTTATTGACTGTTTAGAGAACTGGTATCTGATACTCACCTAAGAATTAGCTGATTATCGATCTACTGTAAACAGGGAAATTTTCGCCCCCGTTTTATTTTCGCTCCTTTCGCCCTATCCTCATTTGGATGAATTTAAAACGGGGTGAACTAAAATAATACAATATAATTTGTTAAACAAAACTGTGCCTGGGCGAATTTAAAACGGAGCAAAATTGTTTGCAAGTGTGAAAGGGCGAAAATAACCCTGTAAATAGTATATCTTAAAGCAATATGAGCTGCAACTTTGATGTCGGAATTTTTTGTTGCGAAATTGTAAATAACTATTTCAATGACAGAAAAAAATAACGTTAATTAACTTCTGTTGTTCATTTGTGCATTGGAAGAACTATTTATAAACTTCGATTGAATCAAAATTCTATTATTGTCGTCCTGTGCAATAATGATTTCTTAATATATAAAACTGTATATTGGATTGTATATAGAAGTCTTGCTTTGTTTTAGTTTAATTGATCATAAACTTAAGGTGGAAGTTACAAACAAATTTATCATAATAACACATTTTAACAGCAAAATAAAATTTTCTAAAATGCAACTCATATTGCTTTAAATGTATTGAAAATGTGGGAAAATGGTGAAGTGTTGAAGTTGACAATTACACATCAGAAAAACTCTGAAAGTGATGGAACATAACTCAGCGACAAAAATGGGAGGGGGACCCAGACTATATTGTTCAATAAATACTCAGATTAAAAATAGACTCTCTACAGGGTAAAGGAAAAGGTCTCCCATAAAGGATAGCACACTACAGTTACTAACTAAATAATGCATAAAAATATGAAGTAAATGTAGCAGGAATCTGCATAATAGTCAAGTGAACATTTTTAATGTCACAAACTGACCCTCAGATAAGAATAGAATTCATAGAAAAAACAGATGCCCAAGCTTCTCATGAAAGTGATATGATGATTTTATGTGTCACTACTGTCTTTGAACTGACTTAAGTTTGTTCCTTTCTGTATTATGTGCATTAGGAAGATAGATCTGAGATTTTCAAGGGGTTTCTCCACAGAGGCAAAAATACATTGCCTCAATGGTGACACACTGTTGAATACACCAAATAACAAGGAAATATGGGGTGTAATTAGATTTTGCAAAATTAATGAAGTCCCTGTATTTCCTCCTTGTATTGAATGGGTTGATCGACTTCCAACAATGGGATGAAATTATTATGCCCCCCTTCGAAGAAGGGAGGGCATATTGCTTTGCTGTTGTCTGTCGGTCGGTCAGTCCACCACCAGTTTCCATTCATTTTTCTTCGCAGAGGTTGCACATATTGAAATGAAATTAGGTATACAGATGTATCATAAGAATATCAAGGTCAAGATTTGTTTTTGATAGATCCATTTTGGACAGAGTTATGCCCCTTGGACTTAGAAAAATTCCAATTATTTGGGGGAGGGGGGCATAAGTGTTATACAAACATCTCTTGTTAATCTTTTTTTTGATCTCTTTTATCAATTTCTCTGAAATTGACTGATACAATGTACTGTAAATCACTTTTTATTCATGAGAACTTTAGTTGTAATTACGAGAGACAGTGTGCTTTCAAAAATATTATTCTATAATAAAAATATATTCCTAAAGATTATATAGTCTAAGAGCAATAAGCAGCATCTGTGAAAATTTTGTTTCTCTTATAAATTAGTAAAGGTCTAGAGTAATTCTCCTGAAAATAAGGTGTTGCCAAAATTTAGTGATTTACAATATTTGTTTTCTCATTATTCAGGTATTTTGTGATAAAAGATGGTTTTTTGCTATACTACCCTGACACAGAGAAGAAGGACCTGGAGAAGAGGAAATGTCTTAATGTTCACCCAAAGGTATCAGGCAACTGTAGCTATTGGTTTTATAAACTTATCATACCTTAGTTAACTCCTTACAGAGAAAATTTCCACTTCCTTTAATCAACCCATGTGCATTGTTATCATATGATTTGTTGGCATTTCCTCCCTGAAGAGGATGATATGACTAGTATTTTTTTTAGCTCTTTACTGGTCAGAGACCAGAAGAGCTTATAAATGCAATAGTAAAGTGTTCATCGTCCATCTGTCTGTAAACAATTTTTTTTAAAACACTACTCCTCTTACGTACAGTATTGATCAGATTTTAATATAGCTTGGCACGTAAGCAGAGTCACTATTAAAGATACATCAAACTTACCAGTAGTGCATCAAAATTTGATTTTGATGTACGGTGTTGCCATGATTACTAAAATTAGAAATTTTTGTGAAATTCCCTTAAAACAATATTCCTCCTTCAGGTTTAGTTTGATTTCTTGTTACCACTATGGTAATATTAATTTATTTAAAAAGTCTGTGCATTGTATTCTTTTAAAGGGAATTATCCCCCTTGGAGAGTGTTCGATTGAAGCAGTCAGTGAAAATGGACAGCCTCATGCCTTTTGTGTAGAGAGTGCTGAAATAACTGTAAGTATTCATACCAACCAAATCAGAACTCAAATGATAATCATAATAAAAATTCAGAAGTAGCTTTGTGAAGCAAAACATATTTTCTGACAAATAAATGTATTCTGGATTACATGAGAATGTTTTAAGAAATATCAAACAGAGGCTATTCTTAATTAATGTGGTAATTCAAGTGTATTTTATTCTTTTATAAGCAAAAAAAAAAAAAAACCCTCCCCAGAATTTGTACTCTCTAGAAGGATTTTCCCCAAAGCCAAAAATCCAATTAAACTAAAATTCATTTTTTCCCGTGGATATGGTATAGAAATTGCCCAACTAATTAATTGTACAATGTTATTACTTTCTTTTTTGATAATATTGCTTCAAAAAACTGTTTGCCATTACTTAGAAAAAAATGATATTTAAAATTTCGGACAGAGAGCGTATCAACATTGAACAAGCATACATATGCTTGCACAGACAGATAGGTAAAATAAATTGGAATTAATTTAGGGGTGCATGTTCTTTTCCTGTACAAGTAAAATATTCTTTTAAAATGGCAAGCAAAATGTTTTACTTTAAAAATACATGTACTGAAGAAACAAATCTTATAAACCAAAGGAACACATATTGATTTAGAATTGCATTTTTATTTTTCTTCCCTCAAGGTCAATGTAAGTATGTATTATGCATCTGATGCATATCATTTCACCATGCACTAGCTCCTGTGTCTTATTATCATGTATAACAATATACTGTACACATGTGTTTGGTTTACTTTTTTATTTCTGACAATCGAGTCATATGAAGTATATGTACAAACTATGTATCTATGTTTATATGCAGATAGCCAAAAAAAATTCAAAGTATTTTATGCATATACATGTATATATTTTACTAACTTGGTATGACACTGTGGTAGACATTAGACAGTTATCTTTAGATTATCCTGATATGAAATTCAAACTTTTTATCTTTGATATAAAACACTATGACACAATTTCAGAGCAGTAGGAAACTTGCTGCTCTCAATGTGAACTACCAATCTAATTAAAATTAGACCTTTCATCTCGCTCTTCACGAAGCGACATATCAAAAACGAAGAGCGAGATGAAAGGTCTAATTTTAATTAGATTGTGTGAACTACCAGTATATACAACACTAGTCTATATAAAATTATTTGATTGAATGGTGTCTGGCTTCTATCTGTCTTCTCAAAAACTGCTAAACCAATTTTAACCAAACTTGCCACAAAGCTTCCTCGGGTTAAGGGGATTCAAGTTTGTTTACATAAAGGGTCTCATTCTCTTTCAAGGGGAGATAATCAGGATTTAGTGAAATTTTAATGGTATTTTTTAAAACCCCTCTTCTCAAGAACCACTGGGCCAGAAAACATGAAACTTATATGAAAGCTTAACATAGTGTAGATTGAAATTTTTTTTTCAAATTATGACACCCCCAACTCCCATCCTGGAGTAAAATGGCGACCACAATGGGATCAAGAATCAAAGTTAAATTACATCAGAATATACATGTGTAGAAAATGTTTTTTAAAAATTCTTCTCAAGCACAGCTTAAACATAGATAGTCATATTAATATAGAAGCATCCCCAATTAATGTAGAATTAATTTTATTCAAAGCATGTTTCAGGAGGTAAAATATCAATCTTTTACATAGAAATAAACAGAAAAAAGAATCTTTAAAAAGTTTTCTTAAGTCATGATAAATCAAAATTTGGAAACATCCTCAGTAAGTTTAGAATCAAACTTATAGCCTTGCCACTTCCCCTTCCTTTTTGGGATAGGTTGGGAACATTAATTTGTTTAAACTTTTAAATACTGAACTGATTTCTGTCCCTCTCTAACCAAAATGTTCAGGTGAGTGATGTGGCCGATGGACCTCTTGTCCCATTTCATTTTTGTAGTGAATTACCAGTCATCCTTGGGTAGCTTATCTAATGGATTTAACATTTGATGTCACTACCTACTTTGGTTCCCCGAGGTTTTCTGAGGGACCTTTGTACTTAAAGATGTCTTTAATGTTAATATTTCTTGAAGGGAGAGAATATTTTTTGTGAACAATCTTTATTTATGGAATATTTCATTTATAAAGCATCTCTAAAATTTCAGGCTTATTAATTAAGTTGCCTCAATGTTCATGCTCAATTGCTTTAATTTAAGTTTAAAGCAGTGTGTTACAGATTATCAGTGCTTTGCAGAAAGATAAAGAACCTAATAGTGTATAAATCAGTGGAACATGCATTTAAGCTTTTGAGATTTTTTCTCCTTCATTTTAACTCTTTTGGTTTGGAAAGTTTCTGCAATTTGTAAACATTTTGTGTATCTCTGCTGTGAATATAGTTTTGAGGGAGTTAGTAGATATTTGTCTGCATGTAGTTTATATCTGCATGAAACTTTAGTCATCAGAAATGTAGATCACATTTGTAGATTTTATTTTTAAATGAAGAGAATCATTAACTCAGAGTGTGTCCCTGTTTTAGTGTATCAGTTACCTTCCTTTTGTTGAGAGAGTATTCACCCTTTTTTTGGCTAATATTTATCATACTAGATAGAGTAGTGCTGTTTTATACAACAATTTCATAAAATTATTGCTTTTTTGTATACAGTGTATTTGTAATTTTTTTGTTTCATTAATATTTATATTTACCGTTTGTATTTGATTGTTTATAATTTGTTATATATTATTTAATTATGTTGTTCTCATTATTTGTTCATTAATTCAGGGCAAACTTATGTTGGCAGCCGATAGCAGCTTTGAGCGAGACAAATGGATTGATATGTTAAAGAAATCCAAACGCATGTTTGTATACCAACTACTCATGTAGTGTCCATCTTTATTCATTATTCATTAGAAATAAATGCATCATGAACTGGCTTTAATATAGTGTTAATAAAATAACTTTAGTGACTGCATTTAGTAGTGCGAAAATAACATACTAAAGTGCTTTATTACACTGTATTGCATTGTTTCATACAGAATTACTTGTATGTATAGATATTTATGACATTGGAACAAAAAACAGTATCTGGTTTTTTTTCACACAAAACAATTTGTACAAAATCCGACTTTTTATTGAAGAATTTTAATTTTGTATCCAATTCATTGTCAAGTTCAAGTAAGATTATAGTGTCTTCTTTGACAGTGACTTTAAATTTTTAAGTTTCACACATGATTCAAACTGATCTTAAAGAAAAAAAAGAATAGTTAAGTTTTGACATGTATGACAAAAGCATGTATAAATCCAATTATGATAGGGAAGTCCATCTTTAAAAAAATTGGTTGCCCTCTCTCGACCCACTGACTAAAAATGGCCCGACTTGAAACTTGTTTCAAGTTTTAACCTACAGGAAGCAATGATTTTTCTTATGTAGTCTGAAAAATAGTTTTTGAAATGTCAGCACTAAAATTGAAATTTCCTGATAAAAAAAAATCTGCTTCTTCAAGCCAACCCAATTTTTCATCCTGAGTAGGAGATGACAAACATTTCAAAGTTGGTCAATTTTTTTTTCTTTAGAAATTGGAAGAGTTCTAAGCTTGCTGATGAACTGATTCACCAGTTAGAAGAACAAGGACTACAAATGGCTAAACAGAAGCAGGATTATTTTGGTAAGTGACCAGCTATTTTATGACTTACATGACCTTGAACAGACATCAAGGACATATGCACACCAGCTATTTTACACCTAACATGACCTTGAACAGACATCAAGGACATATGCAAACCAGCTATTTTATATCTTACGTGATCTTGAACAGACATCAAGAAAATATATATACACCAGCTATTTTATATCTTACATGACCTTGAATAGACATCAAGGACATATGCACACCAGCTATTTTACATCTAACATGACCTTGATCAGACATCAAGGACATGTGTACACCAGCTATTTTATATCTTACATGACCTTGAACAGACATTAAGGACATATGTACACCAGCTATTTTATATCTTACATGACCTTGAACAGACATCAAGGACATATGTGCACCAGCTATTTTATATCTTACATGACCTTGAACAGACACCAAGGACATTTGTGTACCAGCTGTTTTACATTTTTCTTGACCTTGAACAGACATCAAGGACAAGATAATATTGGGCATCTTCATGAAGAGATTATATGGATATTAATCCACATCCTTTTAAATTTCAGACCAGCTTCAGTCTGAAGTGATGGCATTATCAGACGAGAAAGAGAAGTATGAGGTACCCTATCTATATATACCCGTGATTGATGAAAGAATAGTAGTCCATTATATTTCCTTACATCTGTGACACTTTGCCTTAATTCATATGGGAGAGGGGGTATGATTCTGTGACCTTAATGTTCATAGTATATCTAGTTTTTAGTTGGAGGGGGTAGCACATAGTAACACACTAGTGTCAGTTTCTGGGTTAGTGTTTTGGTAAATATTAGTACATGTATATAGAAGAATGTGTGGGATTAGACACTTTTTAGCCGGGCTTATTGCTCAAAGAGCAATTGCCGGCTTATGTGATCCTGTTCAAGACAGGATGTTAACCCCATAGTCGCCATTTTAAAGTTACGTGTAAAAATATAGTTCTTACTCTCAACCGCTTTTGAGATAATACAAACGCTAAATAAAGCAACAAAAATAAGTTTTATCTAAATAAATAAACATATTTAGTACCTTTAAAAACTTCAGTCTTAAGTCAAAGAACATAGTTCATTGGTGTATGGAGTTTTGATAATCAGTGTTACATGTGTCTTAGTTCTCTACACATACGAAGAAAAGCAGGAGAGGGAACCAGACTGGCCTGTTTGTTTATTTTCAGTTGCGGTACCAGATTAATTCTGATTCTGACAAAATCGGACCGTGGTATTAGGATAGAAACTCACTGTCAGTGTCTTATCATTTATATTGATAGATTTAAAATGATTTTTTTCATCAGAATTTTAAATCTGATATTCTTTTTTTTTAATCTGTTAATACAATATAAACGTATGATTCATGTAAGAAATTCATAATGATTCTACTCTGTAAATGAGCCCGGCTCTCTGTACTTCTGAGTACTTTGATTTAATTGTTGATTGATTAGCAGCATTATATTGCTGATTCAGTATACAAAAAGATGTCTGTCTTTTTATCAAGATTATATTCAGCTGTTAATTTCTTTATACAATATACATATAGTGAGAGAGAAAAATAATCTGTCTTTTAGGAACTTGCAAGGGTGAATCAGGAGCTTGAAAAAGAAAAAGAGAAAATGGAAAAATACCAGACAGAATTAATGGAAGAATTTGAGCAAGTAAGAAAGTAAGTGTTTACGTGGAAATTTTCCAGGGAGAGGAACACACAGTAGTCAAGATAATAAAGTTCTGTTTTAATGTCACAGGATTAAGTTCTATTTTAATGTCACAGGATATATGTATTTGACATTGATAAAAGGATACAATTGAATGTACCACTACATGAATGGCAATCTTCAGAGCACAGCCCTGTATAGAAACATGATTGTATAATCTGTATATCCTGTTCAGTCACTGCTTTGTTCTGATAAATCCTTCCTTTTGATGACAGGGAACTGGAGGAAACCAACCAATACATGCAGGATGTGGAGAAGGACAGGGAAGAGCTCTCATCAACAATATCTCAGCAACAGGAAAATTTACAGGTACAGCCCAGTACTCACTGAATCATAGACTTAGGAAATCACTAATTTTCGTGGGGGTTTAATTTTCGTGGTTTTCAAGGTATGAAGAAACCCACAAATCTATGTCCACCACGAAATGCAATTTTTCACATATATTACTACTGAACAATTCTTCAACCACGAAATCAATTCCCCATGAACCAACATATTTTCCTCAAACCACAAAAATTTGACCCCTCAAAAATATGTGATTTTACAGTATTTATACTTGAAAAAAAATTGAATGGAACTTATACACTAGAAACAAAAAAACAACAACAATTGAGCAACACATAAACAACCAAGTAAAAAATCTGGCTGTGTTTTAGTATTAAATGTAAGAGTCAGGCATTTCATTTCCTTCAAAAAGTAACAGTTAAAAGTCTCAGTTCCAAGCTGAAAAGTAGCATGAAAAATGTGAAGATAACAAAACAGTGGTCAGTCTAAAAAAAAATAATCTGTAACGAGGGCATAAAACAAAGCCCCTTGGAAATATCAGAGATGGGATCAGATGCCTAGGAGGGGAAGGCATCCCCTGGTTACACTGTAAATAGACCTATATAGTGATTAGGTACACAGAACATTCCATAGTCAAATTCAAAAACAAAGGCTTATCAATTTGTATGAAAAAAGACAGTCAGAATGCAACTCAGTGATAGGATACATTTGCTGACAAGGACATTATAACAATCATAGATTTTACAAAATATTGACTTACAATGGGGATGTTGAAATCCTTGTAACATCAAGATATCTCTCAGTAGCTTGTTTCAGTTTAAACATTGTTTGTACTCTGAGCAAGCTCTTAAATATCAAATAAGTTGGGAAATGTTAACATCATATACAGGTGATAGGGATGGAAGTAAAATTAAAATTGGAAATGATTTAAACCCTTTGCTTGAATGACCATGTATTGGGGCTAACCCAAAGTGCATTTTGACAAACATTGAAATAAAGAGGTCGCTCCAATATGTACAGATAAACTTCAATTTAATTAGGGACATTATCCTTAATTTTGAGTGAAGACAAAGGGGCCAAATTGAAGGTTTTTTAGCCAAACTAAGACAAATTCTTTTTAAACAATGAAAATAATGATATCAGAAACCTTAAAGTTACAAGGAAATGGGACTGTATCTTCTGTTAGTTTTTAAAAGATTTACATTAAGTTAAAATGTTACAATTCATGAACACAATACATAAAATGGCATAAACCATTTATTATGTGTTTTCTAAACCCTTTGCTAAATTAAAGATGGCTTTATTGTTATTAAAGGAAATCTATGAATCAATTCCTGAAAGTTTTTAAAAAACAAATATTGTACAATGTACTGGAAAAAAAATTGTGAGTGAGATTAGAATTCTGTATTTTATTCATTCTTCTTGATACTTTAATTTAATACCATATCTACATACTAAATATTGATGGAAACTAGATACGATCTCGTTGCGAGCAACGAGAGGTCTTCCGTCCGATTCAGGAAAAAAAACTTGTAAAATCGAGCTGAAAAGTGATTCAAAATTTTGATCACAAGGAGGAGTGAATCCAGGTCGCCAACGTGAATGCGCCTTTTTTCTCTTTTCTCCCCAACGCGCGAACCATTTAGCTATTGGGAATACTGCTTTAAATATACTTGTGTATATTTTTGCAACAGTACACCTGTCTAAGAATCATAAAAGGCGGGCCCTTATTCATAATTTCGTGTCAAACGCCACGCGTAAATATTCGCACCTTTCCTTTGTACTGATCTATTAAAGAGGTGCAATAGCGTCAATGAAATCAATTAATAAAACATTCTTATCACCTTTATTTTATTTCGGCGTTAGGAAAGTATATTTAACACATTTTACACATTACATATCGTATCTAGCCCAGTAACACTAAAGCAGTGAAACAGAAATTAAGTTTTTAAGATTGACACTGAATTGCAACGTACTACTACGTGAGAGTCCAAGTAGTTTTTTGCATTTCATGTATCCTTATGTCAGAATGGTTTAATCAAACGCTCAGCTGCCTCCATAAGCCCCTACTCGCGAAATGGCGGAGTTGACAGAGACAGCCGCCATCTTGGACCCGCTTCAGATTTTCAAATATTAATATCTAGAGTTCAGATTAACCAATATTAAAACAACTTATATAGTAAGCATCAATAGAAGTGTCTCTTTTAATATTCCAAAAATAAATGAAAAATATTGAAAAACAACGAAAGTTGAAAAATTGGACTTTTTGAATTGGCTTCCGGTAGCGACAGGAAGTACTGACGACGAACAAAAAGTCGCGTCCTGGAAAGTATCGATCATCATCTATAAACTCTGAAAGTTTCAAATTGATATCTTTTACCGTTTTTGAGTTTAATCGTGGACAAAATGTCGTTTTAAAATCAGGAAAATGGTCCAAAACTTGGCACCAGAGAGGAATTTTCAAAAACTGTCTTGGAACTTTAAAGAGTATCTTACAACACATCTTTCCTGAAAATTTCATGTAATTCTATCCAGTAGTTGTCGAGAAATCGTGTCAGAAAAATAATAATAATAATAATAAGAAACAGTAGAATCACTATAAGGTCTTCCGTGAAGACGGAAGACCTTAATAAAGGAATAATGGAAGACTTATTGAATGCAATGCCTGTGCAAATATAAATTTCTTTTATGCATATTAAAGAAGCTACCATAACATTCATGATGGGTTTTTTTAAATCAGGTTCTGGCCAAAGAGAAACACAAGATATTGAATAATTTGGAGGAACAGGAGAACCAGAACCAGACTTTACAGAGCATGGAGGAGCAACTGAGGAGGATAGAAAACAAGATGAGTCTTCTTCAAACCGAGAAAGCCGAGACAGAGAGGAGGTAATACACACAGATTTATCTCCTGTAACCAATTGTCACAACTGACCTCAAGTTGTGATGGATTTGTTAAATCAGAATTTACAAACCAAAATAAATAATATTTTGTAAGACCTCCTGTATACCAAGAAACAACAAGATTTATAAAAATTAACAATAAATTTATCTACATATGTACAATAAATATCAAATCGGCCAAAAGTTCAATCATGGTCATCACTGGACAGATTCACACTTCACACCACGTCGCAATGTATGGTCCACCATATTGTCCCTTCCGGTCCACCATATCCCAAAAGTATCCTCACCATGTACACCAATCCTCCCGTCCAGAACAAAAGCTTAATATACAATTTTGGTCACTGAGCTGTGGCATTTTATACATAAATACCATACTGTCGGCCCCCAGGTCTTGCTTCTCAACGCCGCTACAAAACATCCCTGAATCCCAAGATCACACAGCAGGAGAAACAGCTAAAACACACCCAAGTTCACACAGCATGGGTTATATAAAAGGCACACCCAAGATCACTAAGCATGGGTAAAGTATAACTCACGGCGTCCAGACCTCATCTGACACACACTAGCCAACACCCAGTATTAATAACTGACCAAAACTACTCAAACGGGTTCGACGAGTATACGTTGATAAAAATAGAACAAATACAACTCAGTGACCAATAGTGCGTAAATGAAATAAACGATAACTCCTAATGCCAAAATAAAGATAACTCTTACCAAATCCTGTACAATAAGCTAGTATTAAACATTGACACAATGTCACTAGTGACAATACCTCCCTTCTTAAGACACAAAATGCAATTTTGTGACATAAATGAAAAACTATGTACACAACAAAGTCTTTATGAACAAGAACTTACTCAGGAACAACACGACTGAGAAAATCAGCTCCAATGTTATCTACACCTCTAATACAATGAAGCGCATTGAAGTGGTAAAATTTTCCATTTGGATGAAACGTTCTGAGTCATGCTTTGACCGTCAATTATAACATAACGACACGCCCATTTCTTTAGAAACGAGAAAGAAATATTCGTCGTAATGTTTTAGGGCACCCCACTTTCCGCGACAAACAACATGAGTGCGTAAATGAAATAAACGATAACTATATAGAGGGTCCCCGCATTTGTAAAACACGCATTGCAACGAATTCGTACATAATTATGATTTTTATCATGTTTATTGGAGTTAGCATTACACATGTATCGGTCGAACACGTGCTTACTCGGTGTTTATGCAGACCGTCAATTTGATTGGCTACTATATTTATGGAATACCTGTTCTACAAGTATTCGATTGGATCATTTGACCGATTTTTCCTTTCTAAAGAAATGGGCATGTCTTAAGATAGCTCAAAACGTTCCATCCAAACGGAAAATTTTACCACTTCAATGCGCTTCATTGTAACTTCAGTTCTAAAGTTGAATGCTTGTAAGAAAATGAGACCATCTCATCAATCTGCTGTTTGAAACTTTAGTCTTTTGTAAATGAAGTAGTGGTCTATGATCTGTCTCCACAACAAACGCTCTTCCATACAAGTAAGACTGAAATTTCTGTATAGCCCATACGACTGCAAGACACTCTTTCTCCACAACCAAATAACGTTGTTCTCTGTCTAGCAGCTTCCGGCTTGCATATGCAACTGGAAATGTACGTCCATCATGCTTCTGCATCAGCACTGCACCAACTCCATGATTAGATGCATCAGTTCTTAAGATGAATGGCTTCGTCAAATCTGGTAATCTGAGAATTGGGCTGTATAGCAACATGGATTTTAAACTCTTAAATGAATTATCATGTTCTTGTTTCCAGTCAAATTTGTTTGGAACACCTTTCTTGGTTAAGTCAGTTAAAGGAGCAGCAATAGTGGAAAAGTTTGGCACAAATTTTCTATAATAGCCAATCAAACCAAGGAAAGATCTAACCTGCTTCTTTGTCTCTGGCCTTGGTGCTTCTTGGATAGCTCTCAACTTCTTGTTGGTTGGCTGTAAGGTTCCTCCTCCAATAACATGACCCAAGTACTCAAGTCTCGTCTGCGCTATCTCACACTTGGAGGGTTTTGCTGTTAACTGCGCTCTCTGTAGTCTCTCCAGCACTTTTCTTAGTTCTGTAACATGTTCTTCAAAAGTTTCTGTATGAATAAGAATGTCATCAACAAAACTATCAGTATGCTCTAAACCTTTGAGAATTTTCCGCATAAGTCTGTTAAAAGTAGCTGGGCTGTTTTTCATACCGAAGGGCATTACTTTAAATCTGTACAAACCATCTGGTGTTAAAAATGATGTTAAGTCTCTGTCTTCTTCTCTCATTGGAATCTGCCAATATCCTTTACATAAGTCAAGTTTAGAAAAGAAACGACTGTTAATAATTTTAGTCATGATTTCATCTGGATCTGGCATTGGTTCTGGATCAAAAATCGTTACCTTGTTCAAGTTACGAAAATCCACACATATTCTCTGGCTACCATTGGACTTCTTTGCCACAACAATCGAACTAGCATACAGTGATTCTGATGGTTCGATGATATCCATGTCAATCATATGCTGTATTTCTTCTCGGACTGCACTTCTGACTGCATACGGTATCTGATATGGTCTGTTTCTGATTGGTTCTTTTGTAGTGAGATGAACTTCATGCTGGATAACATTCATTCTACCAGGTAGATCTGTTAAAACTTCCTGAAATTCATGTAAGACATCATTAATGGATTCAAGCTGATCTGATGACAGTGAATGATTTACCTTAACATCTGTGAATGATTCTGTTGCCTTCATTGGAAGAAGATGTAACAAATGTTCATTACTGGAGTCCTCTGTTTCCTCCGATTCCAAAACGACACAAGAGGCTAAAGTTGTTGGCGAGTCTGTATTCCTTTCCTCTCGAACATTGTATTTCTTCAATAAATTTGCATGAAACAAACGAATATGTCCATTCATATCTATCTGGTAATCAGTTTGTCCTTTTCTATCAACTACTTTGAAAGGTCCTTTCCACTGCATTATAAGTTTGTTATGGTCTGTTGGAAGCAAAAGAAGAAGGAAATCACCAACCTTGAAAGATCTCGGCTTTGTCCTTTTATCGTACTGTTTCTTGTAATGGTCTTTAGACTTCTGAAGTTCTCTCTGAGCCAGCTCACACGTTCTTGCTAGTCGCTCCTTAAGGTCAAGCACATACTGGTAAGTAGTTTTCACTTCCGGGTCCTTCTCCTCCTTCGTCCACAGTTCTTTCAAAACTGTCATAGGTCCCCTAACATTACGTGCATAAACTAGATCAAATGGAGAAAATTTAGTGCTTTCTTGTGGAACTTCTCGATAAGCAAATAACAATGCTGGTAAATATCTATCCCAGTCTTTTGGTCTTTCAGAACTCATTTTCCTTAACATTGACTTCAAAGTACCATTGAACTTTTCTACTAGTCCATTACATGCTGGATGGTATGGAGTTGTTACTAATTGCTTAAACGATAAAAGTCAACCCACCTCTTTCATGATGTTGGAGGTAAATTGCGTACCCATGTCCGACAGAACTTCTTTTGGAATGCCAACTCTGCTGAATATCTCTACCAACGCTTCTGCCACCGTCTCTGTATCGATGTTCTTCAATGCAACCGCCTCTGGATACCTAGTACTGTAATCTACAACAGTCAAAATATATCTATTGCCTTTGTCAGTAATTGGAGAAAGCGGACCTACCAAATCTACGGCTACCCGTTCAAATGGTGTATCAATAAGTGGCATTTTCTCCAACGGAACCTTCGTCACTTTGCCTTTAGGAAACGTTCTTTGGCATATGTCACATGATTGGCAATATCTTGTCACGTCACCCTGGATTCCAGGCCAATAGAAATTCGACATGATGCGGTCTAGAGTCTTCTTTGTACCAAGATGTCCACCTAGGATACTGTCGTGCGCAATCTTCATAACTTTCTGTCGCAAAGATTCTGGAACAACAAGTTGTTTATACAGTTTTTCATCACTAACCTTTCTTGAATGATAATGTCTGTACAACAGTCCTCTTTCAACACTAAACCATGTCTCTATATTTTCGCCAATGTTCTTCTTTCTGCCAGTCGCTGCATGCTCACGATACACTTTCAAGGAAGAATCATCCATCTGCAGTTGTTTCATCAGATCAATTGTCATATCAGTATCTACTAAATCTGTAACTTTTAGCTTTTTCATACCTTTCTTTTCTTTTTTCTTTTGATTCCTTGTCTGTACTGCTTGAAGAACTTGACTACACTCTTCTCTTACGTCCTTTCTACACCACTGTGGATCAGGATCCGACTGATTTCTAGCACCATCGATGTTACCTATAATAAGATCGTAAACAGGTTCTTTCATACATAAAGCATTGATATTACCTGTGAAATAGGGAGTGTCGACATAGATGGAAGCCTCTTCTACTGTACGAACTGTGCCATCTATCAGAACACATTTCTGCACTTGTCCAGTCAGCTGATCATCTGTAACCAAATCTCTCTTCACGACAACACCACTACAACCTGAGTCTCTTAATACTTTAACAAAGTTCTCACCGACATAACCCATAGCAACGGGCATCTTTTCACAAACCTTGCAGACGCCTCCAATAACAGGTAATATGTGTCCACATGCGAGTTTTACAAGTCCATCTGTGACACAACACTGCAACAGTTTATGTTTGAGAATGCATGCTGATCCTATGTGAGGCTGATTTTGATGCGGTATAGCATTGTCCGTCTTGACTTCAGCAGAATTCTGTAAGCTGGAACTAGAATTGTCATTAGATTTTATGCAATTCAACTCACAGTTATGTTGACTCTGTAACATCGCAGCCTTTTGAGTATTGTGCGAAGTAGGTACTGCACGAGGAATTTTCTGCTTGGAGAAACAGTTTCTTGCCAAATGACCACTTTTCCCACAGATGTAACATTTTCTCTCACCCTTTTGCTGTGGTGATCCTTGGTACGCCTGTTGCTTTTGAAAGGATCCACTGCTGTTACCCTGAACACTGGAAATACTTGGAGGTTGCCTCTGAAAAACTTGTAAGTCTTTAGTGAATGAAGTATAACCATGGGCTTCAATAAATTGGTCTGCGAGATTTGACATTTCTTCTGCGTTTTTCGGATGTCTTTCTTTAAGATACATTCCCAACTGCTTACTACAACTGTTTAAAAACTGTTCTCTTAAACACAAATCTTTAAGACCGTCATATGTTTTAGGACTATCTGCTAAAGACAACCATTTCTCTACATAATTGTTCAGCCTAGCAAAGAATTGTGAAGGATTCTCACCCTGTTCTGGTCTGCTGGAACGGAACTTGACACGAAACCCTTCTTCTGTCAGTTGAAAACGCCTTAACAACGCTTGCTTCAAGGTACCATAATTCAGAGCCTCTGAAACTGGAAGTCTAGAATACACCTCAAGAGCTTTACCTTTCAGGAGAGCACTAAGATTAATCGCCCATGAAGACTGTTCCCACTTAGCACACGAAGCAAACCTTTCGAATCTCTGTAAATATGAATCAATACAATCTTTAGATTCATCAAACGGAGGTAACTTTGGCAACTTAGCAAGCGATTGAGAAGCAAGACCTAATGGACCTACAGCTAATTCTCCAGCTTTTAATTTTTGTAATTCAGTTTCTTTCTTAAGTTTTTGTAATTCAATTTCACTCTCAATCTTTCTCGCTTCTCTCTCTGCTGCCCTTTCCATCCTTTCATAATATTCTCTCTCTTTTCTGTCAACAAACTCTTGTAACTCAGTTCCTTGCAAACCTAACTTTTCTCCTAATTGTACATACTCCATTGTTACAATATGCAACGCAACAACAAACAACAAATGTGAAAATAAGAAAATAACAAAATGCATATGAAAAAAATAGTTTGTACAAAACCTGCGAAAAAAAAATAATTCAAACAATAGAAATCTTTTTCAACTAAAGCCTTTTCTACAAAACGTGAAAATAATGCAGGTATACTTGGTAACAGGAAGTCTATCCCACCGCTGCCACCAAAAATGTCACAACTGACCTCAAGTTGTGATGGATTCGTTAAATCAGAATTTACAAACCAAAATAAATAATATTTTGTAAGACCTCCTGTATACCAAGAAACAACAAGATTTATAAAAATTAACAATAAATTTATCTACGTATGTACAATAAATATCAAATCGGCCAAAAGTTCAATCATGGTCATCACTGGACAGATTCACACTTCACACCACGTCGCAATGTATGGTCCACCATATTGTCCCTTCCGGTCCACCATATCCCAAAAGTATCCTCACCATGTACACCAATCCTCCCGTCCAGAACAAAAGCTTAATATACAATTTTGGTCACTGAGCTGTGGCATTTTATACATAAAAACCATACTGTCGGCCCCCAGGTCTTGCTCTCAACGCCGCTACAAAACATCCCTGAATCCCAAGATCACACAGCAGGGGAAACAGCTAAAACACACCCAAGTTCACACAGCATGGGTTATATAAAAGGCACACCCAAGATCACTAAGCATGGGTAAAGTATAACTCACGGCGTCCAGACCTCATCTGACACACACTAGCCAACACCCAGTATAAATAACTGACCAAAACTACTCAAACGGGTTCGACGAGTATACGTTGATAAAAATAGAACAAATACAACTCAGTGACCAATAGTGTGTAAATGAAATAAACGATAACTCCTAATGCCAAAATAAAGATAACTCTTACCAAATCCTGTACAATAAGCTAGTATTAAACATTGACACAATGTCACTTGTGACACCAATGATGCCAGCTAGTCCCTTACAGGCAAAACTAGGATTGAAACGAATGTTCTCAGTCTTATACCACACTGAAGAAACTATAATAAAACACATCTATAGATGGAATAATGTATACTTCTTTACTAACATATAGCTGCAGATCTGTAGCTCACTGGACTGAGAAATTGGGATGGACAGCCGGAGACTTTTTGATGCACGAAACTGTAGCTCTACTGTCATCCATCCGAATTTGTCTCAGAACAGTGAGCTACAGATCTGCAGCTACACCCAGTCAATTACACTGTGTAACCTTAATTTAAATTCTGACAAGATTTGCTCTGGGGTCTAGAAAGACAAAAACATGGCTCTTCTCAGAACAGATAAAATGATAACCTACATACATGTTTTGGTTACCATGAATTTTTCCCTGACATGTGCTGTAGATCACTAAATTTTTGTGACATCTGATTTTCACAATACCTTATTTTCATGAGATAGTAGTTGACTTTTTATTAGCATGACAGAATATTCACATTTTGTGGTTTTTACTCTATATAATCATTAGGAATACTTAAATATGCAGGGTTTAAATTTATGTAAGCATACAGTCTTACATAATTACATGAAAATGAAGTTCTCTTGAATAAAAAGTAATTGTTTACAGTTTATGACTGGTGCATTAAGTACTAGTATTTACAGTTTATGACTGATGCATTAAGTACTATAGTATTTTCCTATCTCCAGTCTTCCAACATACCTTTTCACTGTCCTACCTTGGTGCCTGTCCTTCACACTTTCTATTTTGATTATTTTTAAGAAACCATTCAAGCAGTTCATTGTCAAACTTCATCCAAAGATGCATATTGGTAAGAGAAATTGCAAGGTTTTACAACACAAGGCAGTCAAAATGAGATAGTAGAAGCAATGGGTCCCCCACCTAAAAAATAGACAAAAGTACTCTTATCTATAGATATTATAATGTTTACTAGTATTAAAAATATCTCTGTTTCTTTGAAATGAGCTGAATGCAAAAAGGTTGGTATGCTTCTTGTTTTACCTTGAACTTCCTTATCTGATTTTTCCTCATTTTGCATTTTGATGTGTTACAAAGAAACTGGTCAACAAATTTTCATTGGACTTCATAGAGTGATACATACTGGTATGAGGAATTCAAATGAGTCATACATTTGACCTTAACTTTACTTATGTCACCTTTTAATGTACTTGTTGAAAAGTGAAGACTAGATAATAAGCCATTAGTCAGTGTCAATATAATCTCTGTCAAGCTGATTTACAACATGCATGTACATTAGAAATTTATCTGTGTATTTCAGGTTAAAAGAAAATGAAGACAAAGCCCTGTTATTGGAGGAAGAAAAGCAGCAGTTTAATGAACAAGCCCAAGAACTGAATGAGACTATCAAGGTATCAAATCAAACACTCTCTGTCACATGAGATATTTTAATGTCAATCACTGCTTTAAGGTGGTACATATACAGCTTACTTGTATGAATGTTTAATCACAGGAAGCCTTTTGAATGCATGGCTTGTAAATTGCTTCAGTAACAGATACTGATAAATAATTTCATGCTAATTAATTTTCATTGTGTTTATGGGTCTCTTCAAAATTTTGAACTCAGCACTTCTTCGGCCATGAAAAACCAATATCTTTTCCATAAACCACAAAAAATTTGACACAACAACATAATTGCACATTAAATCTTTTAAAGTTAAGTGATTGCAAAGATATTATAAATAAAAAAATGTTTTTTAGAAATGAAGGAAATACATTTGTAAAACAAACATGTGCCTTGCATAAGGAGAAATATTCTAGAGTATCACATATTTTTTGTTAGGACCTAAGAGCTCAGAAGGAAATGACAGAGGCTGAACTTAAGGTAGGCAATTAAACACCAGAATATCTATATGCATTGTGAAAAATATTGGTAGAATTTTAACTTGGCAGGCTAAAATAGAAAATTTTTAGGGATGCAGTGAGGGGTCAAAATTTTGAAAAGTAAAGAACTCGTATTTTAATTTCAAATATATAGAAGAGAAGATATATGATGAACATAAATTGTATAATAAGAAGATTTTTAAAAAAAGTTATTTAAAAAAATTAGGACACCATACAGATGTTTGATTATTTTTGTAACAGGAGGAAGTGATGGCCAGAATGGATGCAGAGAGAAAGCTGAAGGAAGCAGAAGAGTCGCTAAGGAAGCTGGGCGTCGCCGTGGATTCGCAGACGAAAATAATCAAGGAAGATGTTCATCAGGAGATGGTCATTAACGTCAAAAAGTTAAAAGGTGACACTGGCACAATATAGGTCTATAAATAGAAACAATGTAAAGGTACATAGGAAGGGGACAAGACATTGTTTTTTTTATTAAGCCAACTGTAACATTACCTGGGTACAAGCTGTGAATATCAAGACATAAATTTTTGAAATTACAAAGTAGTACAGTTATGATTCATAGTTAAAGAAGGTTGTTAAGAAAAAACATGCTATGTAATTTCATGTACAAGTGTAAGTATATATTTGAAAGAAATGTATGCTTGCTTAAAGATGACTAATTGCTTGATTTTTGTGGAATCAGATTTCTTTGAGGGACTTGCAATGGAAGCAAAAATAGATGAAGATAAACCAATGATTGTTAAAAACTCCATCCACGCACGAAAAACTTTACAGAGACGAGCCAAAACCAATAAAGTGAAAAAAGCTCGCTCAAATAGTAAGTACCTTAACTTATGTTAGAGCAGTTAGTACTTTTTTGATTACTTGAGCAGTGTTTTGAATGATTCCTTGAGATGTAAGTATTTTAATTTGGTTTCTCAAGCAGTGAGTGCTTGGTTTTGATTTCTCAACTTGTAAGTACTTTGATTATTTTCTTTTGCTTTAAGCAAACTATGCTTTGCCGAAAAAAATTAAAGAAAAAGAATAGTTGAGCACTGCTGCTTTAAGTTTCAATTTTGGGGATATTACTGGTATGTGAGACCATCTCTACCGCAGAGGGAAATAAAAAAGCCGTAGGGAAAACATGTTGAAGGTTACATTGATTGTCCTTTTTATTTCAGAATCTCTTAGCATTGACTATGGTGAATTCTATGTTTTATATGTTTAAGGTATAAAACAATTTAGGTATAGCAGACCCTCTGTATTGTTATTTTAGAATAGTTGTCTTAGAAATTTGAGGTTTTTAATGGTCATTGTAAAATGAGACATTTGTTAACTTAGCAGCCCTATGAGACATGTTTCCAGGGTTACCCAGACCTAGTTTAGTGTCCTGTTTGTGTTCTCCTTAGCTGTAGTTTACACTGAATGACTTACAAACCAACTTCCAATTTCCTGGTATCTGACAATAAATTTATAGACTTTCATAATTATGTATTTACAAAAAATTGTGGTGTAATGTTTCAAAGCAAGTACAAATTTACAAACTTGAATTTTTCTTTTTTTTTCACAAAATAAAAGTTAAAATGAGTGATTATTTGCCAGCATAGTTGATTGTTTTAAGCAAGTTTTTAATTGCATAAGGCTGTTAACTTTTGATTCCCCCTGTACTTATGATAAAGGTGATAACTTTTGATTCCTCCTGTACTTATGATAAAGGTGATAGCTTTTGATTCCTCCTGTACTAATGATAAAGGTGATTACTTATAATTCCTCCTATACTTATGATAAAGGTGATAACTTTTGATTCCTCCTGTACTTATGATAAAGGTGATAACTTTTGATTCCTCCTGTACTTATGATAAAGGTGATAACTTAATTTGATTCCTCCTGTACTTATGATAAAGGTGAATCCAGGTATCCCAGACTGAGGTAAGCTGTGGTCTGTTAAGTTAGACTGTTTTGACCTTTTTGACCTTTCTTCTTGGAAGAGTTCCAATTTCTGATTTACAATCTTAATTTTTGAATCCACATTTAAGATTTCAGAGTTCTCCACAATGTTCTTATTAATCCTGTTCTTGCATGGGTTAGAGGTTGTTTGTTTGGTCAATGTTATAAAATGTTTATTGATAAAGTGTAGAGAGACTCTAGTGTTTAGTTTTTGATTGACGGCAGGGCAAACGGCCATGAACTTCATTCATTAATGGAATTCATTCTTTAATTATCATAAAAATTTCACATAAAATCATAATTTTAGAATTTTCACCAAAACCCCAGACTAATTAAAAACTGATATTACTTCTTTACATTATGCATGGTGTAATAATTTTCTTACTCTATGTAGGTTTGCGAGCGAAGTCATCCAATTTTGATGAAGAGAAAGGTGATGGACTTGCTCCAATTCGTCGTTGTGTAACAACTGTCAGGAAGAACTTTGCACAGTCTCTTAACTTCCCGATCGGAGGGGGTGTAAAACTAACAGAGGAGGAGTTTCTATGATTGACACGTGTCACACATGCTCATTCTAGCATAATGTTTCAGGAATTACTGGTCTTGAAGGGTACATTCCAGTATAATTCAACATTAATTCAGAGACACAGTTGTTACATGTATTAATTCAATCATTAACAAGATTTAGATTTCTTTTCAATTTCTGTCATTGCAAACTTGTCCTTTTTGTCTCAGAGATTGTTTTAGCACTTCTACAACTTCATGTAGTCTGACAAAAAGGATAATTTTCAACATGATTTTTTACAATAGTTTGTGGTGCTTTTTTTCATACACAAACTACCGGTATTACAGGTATGTCACTGGAAGCAAAAAGAAATTCACTGATGATTTGTAAAACATACATGTATATATATTAATTCCAATACAGTGTATTCTTTTTAAGTTAACTTTTTTTTTCATTTTGATGCACTATTTCTAGTTGGAGCATGCGATTTCATGTCATTTTCTGTGCCAAAGTAATGTGCTCATATAAAGTAAAGGTAAAACATGGTACAGTAAAATTTGTTTAGTACGAACACGGATATTGCAAATTCACGGATATAGCGAAAAAATCTTTGATCCCCAGCTTTATAAATTTAACCAATTTCTTATACGGATTTAACGAATTACGGACATAAGGAAGTAATTTCATAGGTCCCAATGACTTCGTTATAACCGAGTTTTACTGTATCATTCAGAGATAAATCCTACTATATTTTACTATCTGGTATATGAGCTGTGACTTTACATAGATTCAATTATTTGTCTCATTTGCTTTCACAGGAGATTTCCTTTCATAAATATGCATGCTAATAAAAGATGTGATAGAAAAAAGACTGGGAAATCTTTTCAGAGAACTTGTTTTTGTTATAAATCTTTGTACATATACATATACTCTTGTATAGTTTTTGTATGAATATTCCTTTTTTTAACAATTGCATATTGTGTCTGCATAATTTATGAGAAGTGCATATATGCTTTCATGTATAGTGACTTTATGCAAAACATTTGAATATGTTAACAGAAGAAACAGTTATAATACTTGATGAATTGTGATTGTTGATCCTTGTCCTCCATGTTAACTTTGTCTCATTTTGACAGTGGTGCTACTACACATATGGTATACATTGTTTACATTCTCCAACAAGGAAATTTTATGTATATTTTTTTTTTCTTTTTGAAAATAGCAATGTTAAAAAAAAAATGTATAATGCTATAAAAAAAAAACAATTGAAACACACACACACAATATAAATATATATATATATTTGAAGGTGTTTTTCCCCCCTTTAATAAACATGTGTTTTGTCTAATTATGATATGAAATTTTATATTTTAAAAATCAAAACATTCCATAAACCACTGATATACACCTACTGAGAAGAAATGTATATCCAAAGCAGGTAGGATAAGTCAGGAATGCTGTCTTACCAAAGCTGTTATATAATAATGAAAGTTCATGACCTCTTCACATTCTGTAGGATACTGTATTAAATTATTCCTATTTTAAGTTTATATGTAGATTTATTTTTTTGAACACATGAAAAATTTCTCTCTCAGGAACTTTATCTTGCAAGAATATACAGAGATTTTAGTGTAGATCTAGTGTACTCAAAAGTTCATCTTATTTAGTTCTATACATTAGAATACCAATCACAGACCAAAGAAGAATGATACATTTCTTTTTTACTGTTGCAATACAAAAGCACCATGGGTGGGGCGTTTATGTCCATGGGACATACACTGTATTTCTAGTTTCCAAAATGCTACTCCTACTCAATCATGTAATATCAGAACACCCCCCCCCCCAAACACACACACACACACACACACACCCTCCCTCACAAACCCTCACACACACTTTTTTCCAACCCTTTACTGTCCATTGAAATAGTTGGAACTACACAAAATCACAAAAAAAAGGTTTTTTGGAGTTTGACTCTAGAATTTTTCAGATTCTTGGAAAGTTATAATTTAAAGGCATTTTTCCTTGCTCCCCTTTTCAAAAATATACAACTTGCCTGCCACGGAATCTTGGTCCAGTTTCAACAAAACATACTACATGAGTAAACTATAAAGGTATATTATAATTCTGTTTGAGTTTTAAAGTGTTAAAAGAGCATTAGGACAGATAATTATGTCAAAAAATATGTTTAGGTGCTATTTGCAAAAACCAATAGAGTTACAGTCCAGTCAGACTTCTGACCTATATAAACCACACTCTATTTGATAACCAGTAAGATTCATTCATATTTGTGTGAATAATCTCACTTTTATGGGGTTTTTTTTTGTCTGGGGCAAACAATAGCAAAAAATTTTAAAGATGACATTGATAAACATCAGTTTAAATGAAAGTGCAAGGGTTGTAATGTTGATATTTGTTACAGGACCATACATGTATATCCTGAGTACCCTAAAAGTATAATCTTGATTTTTCCACTTTTATGTCAATCTCCTGTCAATAGCCCAAACTATACAGTTCTACATTGTTTTGCATTTATATTATTGTGATAGTTGTTATTCTCAGTAAATTATATTTTGTTAATATATATCTTCTTCAAAATTTTAAATTAATTAATGGATTACATTGCTTGGGACAATTATTTTGTGAGAATAAAATACTATGTGATTAGAATGCATATTTATTACTGTTCTTTTCTTTATATAAATCAAAGAACATACATGTGCATACAAATTGTTGATACTTTGGTAATTTTGTATCATGTAGGATTTAAAGGTTTTAGAACTGCTGCTGATTTCAGAGTAAAAATAATATAGGTAATCTAAAATAATAACAAGCTAATACCAAAAATTTGTGTCCTTCACTGAAGGAAAAAAGGGGAGGATGCACAGATTGAGAGTTGACCCCCTCCCCGTATTAGCATAATTATCAAATTATGTCCTGAAGCAAAAAAAAAAGCCAATATGAATATTATTCTTTAAAGGATTCTTTTAAGGTTCATTGATACTCTGATAAGAGAGATAACTCTTGATGACATAAATGTCTATTATTCCTTTGTAGATTTGCCAAGGTGAAGTGTCTTTTTTTGGTCCAATTTTGCCCTGCTATAATTGTTTGTATTTTACTTATAAAATACATTTCTTTTGGAAAATCATTAAGATTCAAGCAGCATTTATACGAGTGAGCAGAGGGGTTATGAACCTTAATATAAAATATTTATCACACAATTATTATAATAGTTTGTACACGTCATGTGTCATAAATTCTTCATTTCAGATGCTAAATACTATCTTCAGTAATTGATAAAGAAAATTACGAAAAAGGCTCAAACGGGATTTGAACTGGGGGCCTTTTGCATACAAAGTGAGAATCTTTCTGTAGTAGTGTAAGATACATGGCATCCTACTAGCTTGGGCTAGTGGGTTAACCCTTTAGCTCAATTGGTAGAGCACTGGACTGGCAAGCCAGAAGCCCCGGGTTCAATCCTCAGCAGAGGCGAAAAAATTGTTTCTGTACATTGGCACCCATGTTGGAACCTGGCTGTTCTCTGGCATGTGAAAGTGATTGCCCCTAGAACTTCGCCCCACAGGTGTCGGCACTCCGAAAGAGATGTGGACATCTCATTCTCTGGAGGGGGACAATGTAGTAGTGTAAGATACATGGCATCCTACTAGCTTTAGCTAGTGGGTTAACCCTTTGCCTCAATTGGTAGAGCACTGGACTGGCAAGTCAGAGGCCGCAGGTTCAATCCCCAGCAGAGGAGAAAAAATGTCTCTGTTACATTTCCTCTAGGCTATTGATGAACTTGACAAAATTATGAATTAAATGCAAACACAAGGTTAAATACATAACGTATACATGTTTACATCACGTCCTACATTGGCAAAATTTTACAAAAAACCTAATGTGTCTAATTAAGCATCTACTAAAACCTTTTGACCTCAAAACCAATAGGTGTTTTCTTTAGGCCATAGGGAGTTATGTAGAATTTGATTGCAAAAGTTCAAAGGCTTCTCGAGATATCGCTTGGAAATGAAAGTGTTACAGACACGAATGGAGGGACAGACAGAAGGGCATGGGGGGGGTCAGAGGGAGGTATGGTATGAAATTTAATTGTAACAAGATGTGTTTGTGAAACACTATGCGCCCAGCGGCAACAAAGTTAAAAAAACCTATATTTATGCCACCCGCAAACGAAGTTTGGGGGGGTATATAGGAATCACCTTGTCCGTCTGTCTGCCTGTCTGTCCGTCCGTCAGTCTGTCTGTCTGTACAAAAATGACCGGTCCATATCTTTCTTACGGAGGAACATAAGAATCTATTACTCCACACAAAGATTGCCTATAACCCAAGGGTGTGTCATGACCTTGACCCAAGGTCATTTGGGGAAGTTCAAGGTCACTGGAAGAAAAATTTTATAATTCGTGTCTGGTCCATATCTTTCTTATGGATAAACTTGGTAGGTTCTCATTTCACACAAAGATTGCCCATGACCAAAGGGTGTGTCATGACCTTGACCCAAGGTCATTTTGTGAAGTTCAAGGTCACTGGAAGAAAAATTTCATAATTCGTGTCCGGTCCATATCTTTCTTATGGATAAACTTGGTAGGTTCTCATTTCACACAAAGATTGCCCCGTGACCTAAGGGTGTGTCATGACCTTGACCCAAGGTCATTTGGGGAAGTTCAAGGTCACTGAAAGAAAAATTGTATGATTCATGTTTGATGCATATCTTTATTATGGAAAAACTTACCTCTGAAAAACCCAGCGGGGGGTATTTTGTCCCGTTTGGACAGTTCTAGTTTTAGCAGTGAAGGTCAAAAGGTCATTGATCTTGGTGTCATTTGAAAAAAAAACTTGATTAGTGAAGTATGCATACCAAATATGAAGTCTCTATCTCTCATAGTTCAAAAGTTATGGGTGAAGGTTCAAAAAAGCTTATTTTTAGCATATAGGACACAGTCAAGGTCACGAGGTCATTGACCGTGGTGTCATGTGAAAGGGCTTAATTAGTGGAGTATACATGTCAAATATTAAGTCTCTATCTTTCTTTGTTCAAAAGTTATAGCGAAGATTAAAGTTTGCCGATAAAAAAGCTATATTTAGCGTATAGGTCACAGTCAAGGTCACAAGGTCATTGACCATGTTTCATTTAAAAGAGCTTAATCAGTGGTGTATGCATACCAAATATGAAGTCTCTATCTTTTATGGTTCAAAAGTTATGGCGAAGGTTAAAGTTTGCAGACAAACAGACAGCTAGACAGACAGACAGACAGGACAAAAACAATATACGCCTCGGATCTTTCAATCCGGGCTCATAAAAACTTATAGGCTTCTTAAGATATCGCCCGGAAATGAAAGTTTTACACACACTCATAATATGTGTGAATTTAAGACCTTGAACTTTGACCTCAAATTTAATAGGGGTATTCTTTTAAAGCCATAGGGAATTGTGGTATAGAATATCATTGCAAAAGCTCAAAGTTTTCAATATCGAGATTTTGTGCAGAAATGAATTAACTGTTAAAACAGACATTTAAAAAAAAATTATGAACTTGAACTTTTGACCTCAAAATTAATAGGGATCTTTCTTAGGCCATGGAGATTTACTGTGTAAAATTTCATTGCAAATAGCTCAAAGGCTTCTCGAGATATCACATGGAAAAGATCGAAAGCATTACGCACAGACATAACTACAGACGGACGGACAACAGACCAAAATTAATATCCCCCACTTTCAGCGGGGGACAATATACATGTAAAACGGACAACTTCAGAGAAGTGTGGTACCTTACAAAGTTTGGGGGGGGTATATTGGAATCAGCTTGTCCGTCTGTCTGTCTGTCTGTGCAAACGTGTCCGGTCCATATCTTTCTTAAGGAGGAACATAAGATTCTACTTCTTCACACAAAAATTGACCTTGACCCAAGGTCATTTGGGGAAGTTCAAGGTCAATGGAAGAAAAATGTCATAATTCGTGTCTGGTCCATATCTTTCTTAAGGATAAACTTGGTAAGGTCTTATTTCACACAAAGATTCCTCATGACCTAAGGATGTGTCATGACCTTGACCCAAGGTCATCTGTGCAAGTTCAAGGTCACTGAAAGAAAAATTTTATAATTCATGTTTGATACATATCTTTATTATGGAAAAACTTGAATCAACTTTTTCACACAAAGATGGATTATGACCTGAGGGTTTGTTATGACCTTGACCCAAGGTCATTTAAGTTCAAGGTCACTGAATGAAAAATTTCATAATTTGTGTCTGGTCCATATCTTGCTTATGGATAAACTTGGTAAGTTCCTATTTCACACAAAGATCCCTCATGACCTTAGGGTGTGTCATGACCTTGATGCAAGGTCATCTGTGCAAGTTCAAGGTCATTGAAGGAACAAAATCATAATTCATGTTTGGTACATATCTTTCTTATGGAAAACTTGGTAAGTTCCTGTTTTACACAAAGATCGCTTATGTCTTGAGAGTGTGTCATGACCTTGACCCAAGGTCATTTTTGTAAGTTTAAGGTCACTGAAAGGAAAAAGTTCATAATTTGTGCCTGGTCCATATCTTTCTTATGGATAAACTTGGAGGGTTCCTCATTTACACAGAAAAAATTGCTTATGTCTTGAGGGTGTGTCATGACCTTCACCCAAGGTCATTTGTGCAAGTTTAAGGTCACTGAAAGGAAAAAGTTCATAATTTGTGCCTGGTCCATATCTTTCTTATGGATAAACTTGGATGATTCCTCATTTACACAAAGATTGCTTATGACCTGAGGTTTGTGTCATGACCTTGACCCAAGACCATTTATGCGAGTTCAAGGACACTGACATAAAAAGTTCATAATTTGTGTCTGGTCTGTATCTTTATTTTTATTTATTAAGCTGCGCCTTCGTTTCATTCATAAAATATATCATGAGCAATTACATTTGCACTAAAAATGTATTAGCATTTCTCTCTTCTCTTAGATCCATAAAATATTCATGATTTGGCATGAAAAACCCAGCGCGGGGGGTGGGGTTTGGGGGGGGGGGTATTTTGTCCTTCTGGACAGTTCTAGTTGGTTTTGTTGTTGGGGTTGCAGTGATACAATAAATACATTTATGGCATATTGTAAATGTCTTTGAAAAGTAGATTAAACTTCAACTTCAAGGTCATGGAGTAAATACAATCAGAAAAGTCTTGTCACAGGTCTGTAAATGTAAAAATAGAGGATTGTAGGATTGAAGTAGAGAAAGCTTATTTTAGAGGAGGATTATGGCAAGCAAAAATTAAAGCACTTTTTTCCATCCCCACCCCCACCCCTTGAGCACCCCCCCCCCCCCTATCCTGCTAGGTTTTATTTATAAAAGGACCAAATCTGACAGTTCTGGTAGATATGGCTTTTTGTTGTAAATAATTATGAAACATTAAAATGAAAATAAAATTAACAGTTTACTGTTCACAGCAAATATTGCAAGTCTCGATCACTTTCAAATACGATCGGGATCGGGGTTCATTAAAAGTGACAGGTTGTTTGTAAACAGCAACGAAGCAGGACAAAGTGGAACACCATTGATTTATGGCATGCAATATTGATAAACTTGAGACGATGAAAACACACGTCTAAGTATATGCGCATAAAAACCGCCCAATATGATTGCACTTATATTTACGGATGAAAATAATAAACAAACCAAAAAAAATTACACTAAAAATTTAAGTCTAACTTAATCCTTTAATTTAAAGACAGGAAAAACCATCAAGGAAGTGAGTCACAGAACGAAGATTGATATATGATCGTTCTAATCATTATAAATAGGGAGGTCAGTAAAAGATAACCTTTCTTGTCTTTTTCCATTAGTACTAAAATTCAATTCTCAATGATGACAGATTCAAAAAGTATCGACAATAGTAAGTATACATTGTAAAGTATCGATAACAGTTATATTTCATAGATATATTTAAATACACAGTCTACTTTGACTGGAATATGTGCTGTTCACAAACTATTCAATTATTTTAAAAGGCTTTATGCTATTTATAAAGGCCGGAGAATATTTTTTTTTACTTTTATTAATATATATTTAAATGCCTCTAAGAGTTTATGCTTATAAAAAAATATATTTTAAATATACCTGTGTTTCGGAAAATAAGCCAAAATATGGCATCAGTGTTTTCACATGTGTCGGATTAGTATAGATCAACCATAAGATTCTGAAACAATTGTCCATAACATCCAGCATATCAATGTGATTAAAATGCACATACTTATAATTATTATGAATTATTATTAGCTTTTAATCATGTTACTAAAATTTGAGAAACCTTTTTCTTTGATGTTAAAATAAATGATATTAGTCCTTACTCCCTCTTCATGTCACTGAGAGACAATAGAATAGATTCTATATATAGATAATTACATATGTATGACGTGGTTTACTGATTTGTCCATCTTTTCCTTCTTTAGTAGCTATAAAGGATGATAAACATGCTGATTCCAGTCTGGCCACCGGTCAGGAAAACAAAGAAAAGGTCAATTATTTTTAAAACTGTATTTCAAAAGAGTGATCTGTTCATAGAATTGTCATCAAATCATATATGTATTTGAATTAAAGTAACAATTTGTAATTTTCAGGTATCCAAAAAGGAATTTAGTAAAGGTTTGTGTCCCCTTTTACAAGATTACTGACACACAATTTATTATTCTTTTCAATAAAGTGAAATATATGTAATCAGTATAAACAATGTTAAGATTAAAAAAAAAATTTTAGTTTTAAATATTTGAAAGACAGTAATTTTTGTACCTCGGTCTCTTTTCTGACTTTATTTTAAAAATGTGCATTCATACAGATCAGGAATATTTAAAAGAATATTTTGCCAAAGCCCTGGGACTTCGACCTCCGCCAAAACAAGTCTTATCTACAGTCGACATGGAAGGAATAGCAAAATTGATCTCCGAGGGAAAGGCTAAAAATATCATAACAATGGCAGGTGCTGGAATATCTACATGTAAGTTTTTCCTAGTTCTGTATAATGAGAAGACCAGAATCTCTACAGGTAAGTTCATCTCTGGTTTAGTTCTGTATCAACCAGAAGTTTTCTGTGTAAGTTTACCTCTGGTTTAGTTCTGTACCAACCAGAATCTCTACAGGTAAGTTCATCTCTGGTTTAGTTCTGTATCAACCAGAAGTTTTCTGTGTAAGTTTACCTCTGGTTTAGTTCTGTATCAACCACAATCTCTACAGGTAAGTTTATCTCTGTTTTAGTTCTGTACCAACCAGAATCTCTACAGATAAGGTTTAGTTCTGTATCAACCACAATCTCTACAGGTAAGTTTATCTCTGTTTTAGTTCGGTACCAACCAGCATCTCTACAGGTAAGTTCATCTCTGTTTTAGTTCGGTACCAACCAGCATCTCTACACTCTAAGTTTATCTCTGTTTTAGTTCGGTACCAACCAGAATCTCTACAGATAAGTTCATCTCTGGTTTAGTTCTGTATCAACCAGAATCTCTACAGGTAAGTTCATCTCTGGTTTAGTTCTGTATAATAATAATAATAATAATAATAATACTTTATTTTGAGAGGGTAACCCGATTAGTGCAATGCACTAGTCTTCCTCGGGGCCCTCTTAGCATGTTCCCAATAATACATGTACAATAATAAAAACATTTTACAATAATAAATAAATAATACAATATGACGTAAAAATACATTTTTAGGACATTTTAGTTGCGACACTTTATAATAAATGTTTCAACATTTTTACGAAATGTGTGTAAATTCTGTGAAAAACGTATATACAAAGGTAATTTGTTCCATAAATGAACACCAGAATAATGAAAAGAATTTTTAAATTGATTTGTTCGATATTTCGGAAGTTGAAGGTCATAGTTTGTTTCAGATCGTAGAACATAATTATTAGAAGAAATAAATTCAAAAGAGTCTCTTAAATAGGTAGGTGCCATACCATGAAGTGTTTTGTACAGTAGTACATATTTATGAAAATCGATCAACTCGTATATGGTCAGCCATCCAAGTTTTTCAAATAATGGTAGTGAAGGGGCATCATAAGCCACATCTAATATAATCCGGGCTGCCCTTTTTTGCAATTTAAAAACTCTATCTATGCCAGCACCTGGCGCATTACCCCAAATAGTAAGACAATAATTCATAGAAGGCAGAATGTATGCATTATAGAATAGTTTTCTTGTGTGTAAGGGAAGAAATTTTTTAATTTTGCGTAAAGTATATAATTTATATGTCAAAGATTTACAAACTGAGTCAATATGGTGATTATAGCGCAATGAATGATCAATATGCACTCCCAGAAGTTTTTCAGATTCAACATTTTCAATAAATTTGTTTGAAGCATATAAATTTAGTTCAGGGGAATTTATTCTTGATTTTCTTTGTTGTGTTCCCATAAGCATACATTTTGTCTTGTTGGTATTTAACACCATTTGATTTTTGGAACACCAATTTTCAATCTCACACAAATCAAAGTTTAGGGCATTCTCAATACCTTCTATATTTTTATGATATGTATGTAAGGTTGCATCATCAGCAAACATATCAATATCTGTTCTATTTACATGTAAAGGGAGATCATTTATATACAATAAAAATAATAGGGGACCTAAGATAGATCCCTGGGGTACTCCTGCTGTGACGGGCAAAAAATCAGAGGAATATGTTCCTATTTTTACACACTGAGTCCTTGAGGTTAAATAAGAATGAAACCATTTAATAGCCATTTGATCAAAGTGATATGATTGAAGTTTACTTATAAGTATATCATGATTAATTAAATCAAATGCCTTGCTAAAATCAATGAAAGTTATGCCTACTAGATTTCCTTGATCCATAGCTTGTAGCCAATTATCTGTAAGTTTTGTAAGGGCCGTTTGACATGAATGAAATTCTCGAAATCCAGATTGTGATTTAAATAAAAGATCAAAGTTAGAGGCAAAGTTACGTATTTGATTGGCTATGTGTTTTTCAACTAATTTTGATAATGTTGGAAGAATGGATATCGGTCTGTAGTTCCCTGGATCTGCGTGGTCGCCATTTTTGAAAATAGGAGTGACTTTTGCTTGTTTTAAACGGGTCGGAAATACTCCATTAGTGATGCTAGCATTTATAAGATGTGTAATAGATTTGCATATAACATTTGCCGAAAGTTTTAGAAGACGAGGTCCGATAAAGTCTATACCGGCTGACTTGTTTACATCAAGTGTATTCAACATATTCAATACTTCAAATTCACTTATTTCATTAATACTGAAAACATTTTCTTTCCCTAGTTTAGTTTCTGTGTATCGATTTAATAATTCTGGATCAAAACTTTCTACAGACATATCTGCTAATAATTTACAGGATATTTCCGTAAAGTGTTTGTTAAAAATATCAACAATATCCTGTAAATCTTCAAAATCTAAACCATTTTGTGTAATACGGCTAGGCGTAAAATTTTTGGAATTAGATGCCAAATGGTTTAAATAACTCCACATTTCTTTAGGACTTGAGCTTTCTTCAATTGCTGATTTGTAATACTTTGATTTCGCTTGATCTATTAACTGTGTCACTTTATTTCTCCAAATTTTGTAATTTTCTGAATTCCTTTGTAAATGATATGTATCGCGTAAATGTCTAGCATCATTTATTTCCTGTGTAAGCCATTTAGGTCGAGTTTCATTCTTGACTCTTTTAGTTTTTACTCTGGCATGCTTGTTTAGAATATCATTATATATTTCATAAAATTTATTCATTATCTCGTTTGGGTCTTTTAGTTCAAGAAGAGTGTTAAAATTTGCATTTTCTAAATCTCTTAGAAACTCATTTTCATTGAATTGTTTAAAATCTCGGTATTGGATTTCAGTATGTTTTCCTCTACGCTGTATGCAGTTAGTTTTCCGTGTCAAACATACAGGATAGTGGTCAGAAATAGCGATAGGGGGCACATTTGTTTCACATATGTTTTCCGGTTTGGTTGTATAAAAATGATCAATTAAAGTACTTGAGGTACTTGTTATTCTAGTAGGAACAGTAACTATCTGCGAAAGTCCAAACTCTTCTAAAGCAGATGTCCAGTATTGTGGGGGGTCTTTCATTAGATCAATATTGAAATCACCTGATAAAATTATTTCAGTATCGTCACAGCAGGAGGCACAGTTCACCTCCCTTGCTAGGTCCTCCGCCCAGCAGGAGGGGGCAGATGGTGGACGATAAGCAGAGCAATAAAATATAGGTTTTGAATTTTTTAGATTTATCTCTAGCCATATTGATTCAATATTACTGATTTCAAAATCAGTTCTACGTTTATAAGAAATATCATTTGAAATGTATATTAAAATTCCACCACCTGCCTTTAGTTTACGATCTTTTCTTTCAAAAACAAAGCCCTCAATATTTAATTCAGAGTTGCCTATCTGCTCGGTCAAAAAAGTTTCACATACACCTAAAATGTCTAAAGTTTGTCTATTTTGGAGCAATAGTTTTATTTCGTCAATTTTTGGAATAATATGACAAACATTTAAATTCCCGAATCGTAAACCTTTTTTTACCAATCCAAATCCTTGGTTATTTTGTGTTGTTTGGGTATCATTTTTACGGGTCAAAGGAACTGTTTTCTTTACTTGTGAAACAGATTTGAATGATTGTGAATTTCTAGATTTTTCGGGAGGGTGATTTGTATCCTTTTTATTAGCGACTTTTTTGTTTGTATAATTTTCTGAATTTTCCTTTTTTGATAGTGAATTAACAGATTTTGTAGGGGTATGTGACTTGTTTGAATGAAGGTCTAAGAGAGACTTTGAACATTTACATTTTTCGTTATTACATTCTTGACATAAGTTTATAAGTTCTTCATAAAGGTTTTTACAACGAGGATAATTGTTATTTGTAATAACGGCTGTACATTCATCGCCGATTCCCTAATATCCACAAAATTTAAGTTTATGACCTATTTCACCACATTTCCAGCAAGTAACTTTCCTCCCATGCCTGCAGTTCCGTGCGGAATGACCCTCTTCACCACAGAATGGGCAGGTGTATTTTCGGGAAGTATTAAGGCGGCCTTAATTGTACTCTGTCGCATTTCAAAATGTTCACATGTCCTTGTATGATCCTGAGAAACGAAGATGTCCCTTTGTCAGAGAGATGGATTCCGTCCTTCCAGTATAATTCCGGGCGAGGTTTCTCTTGCTTGAACACCTGTGATGTCGATATCACTGTAGCTCCATATTCCTCGCAAACATTTCGAATTACATTATTAATTTCACAAACATTGATATCTTTCCTGGCCAAAACTTCACAAATATACACTTGGACATTAGAATTCCGGGACTTGAGATCGGTGATAATTTCCACAAAATCATTTTCAATGGCCTCCCTGTCGCGGTTGTTTCCGACATCATTTCCTCCAGCAAGAATAACCACATCATTATAGGAGCAGACATTCATCTTTGCTAATTTTGCACGAATATGAGAAACTTGGGCTCCTCTGTTTGTGCTAACTTGTACACAGGACAGTAATCCTCGGGTTTTGATTCTCTGCAGGATTGAACTCCCAATCAAAAGCACAGATTTTCCATCTTCTGGTTGTCTCCGTATTTTCTCCGTCTTTTGGCTTTGTGGCAAATAGGGATAGGATTCTGCATCCGTGGATGTGCTTGAATCTGTCTTGGTGGCAGTAATGGCGCACTGTGTGTGTCTGGAGACTCCGTTTGATACTGGGAGATCTTCAGTTGTCGTTCCTTTCTGTTTCAGAGATTTATTTGATGTCTGGGTTGAAGTACTTTTACATTTCTCTCCTTTTGGAAGCAACTGCTTTTTCAGATTATCAACTTCCTGTGTTAAGGTTGCAACCATTTCAGAGAGTTGTTTGATGATCTCTGCACTGCTGCATTGATCACAATTAGAGTCCATATCAAGTTTTTCATTTTTTCCAGATTTGTAGGTAGGTTTAGGGGTGGATGCAAAATATGGAGATGGTTGCTGAATAACCAGCTTGCATTCCGTATCACTATAATTAGCATCTTCGGTTAAATTATGCATATCAGGTTGACTCTTCATTTCATTCAGGAATTCACTACTGTACCATTCAAAGGCTCTAGACCCTTGAATGAGGATAGTATTAGTACTTTTGTAAATCGTTACTGTTACTGACTCACATGCAGACTTGTATATGCACCCGTTTTTCTTGTTATTTCCATGAAATAAGAGCATTTTCTGGAGCACAGACAGAACAAAATCATGTTTCTGGCCATCATAGTTGATAGTCACACTTTCTTTGTTGAACTTAATCTGGAGAAAGTCTGGTATACTCACTGGTGGTGTTAAATCCAGTTCGTTATCCTTTCCAGTAAAAGATTGTGATAATACACTAAATGAGTTCCAAATTGATTTAAATAGATTAGAATTTACACTAAGATCCATGATTTCTTGATCATTTTTACTTATCAGCTGGGTACAGGTAAGAGCTCATAAAAACACGTCTTATCTCTTCAACAGTCAGTCTATGCTTCAGGTAAGGTTATCTCAGGTTTAGTTCTGTATCAACCAGAATCTCTTCATGTAAGTTTATCTCTGTTTTAGTTCTGTATCAACCAGCATCTCTACAGGTAAGTTCATCTCTGGTTTAGTTCTGTATCAACCAGAAGTTTTGTGTAAGTTTATCTCTGGTTCTGTACCAACCACAATCTCTACAGGTAAGTTTATCTCTGTTTTAGTTCTGTATCAACCAGAATCTCTACAGATAAGTTCATCTCTGGTTTAGTTCTGTATCAACCAGAATCTCTACAGATAAGTTCATCTCTGGTTTAGTTCTGTATCAACCAGAATCTCTATAGGTAAGTTCATCTCTGGTTTAGTTCTGTATCAACCAGCATCTCTACACTCTACAGGTAAGTTTATCTCTGTTTTAGTTCTGTATCAACCAGAATCTCTACAGATAAGTTCATCTCTGGTTTAGTTCTGTATCAACCAGCATCTCTACAGGTAAGTTTATCTCTGTTTTAGTTCTGTACCAACCAGAATCTCTACAGGTAAGTTCATCTCTGGTTTAGTTCTGTATCAACCAGAATCTCTTCAGGTAAGGTTATCTCAGGTTTAGTTCTGTATCAACCAGAATCTCTACAGGTAAGTTTATCTCTGGTTTAGTTCTGTATCAACCAGCATCTCTACACTCTACAGGTAAGTTTATCTCTGTTTTAGTTCTGTATCAACCAGAATCTCTATAGGTAAGTTCATCTCTGGTTTAGTTCTGTATCAACCAGCATCTCTACACTCTACAGGTAAGTTTATCTCTGTTTTAGTTCTGTACCAACCAGAATCTCTACAGATAAGTTTACCTCTGGTTTAGTTCTGTACCAACCAGAATCTCTACAGGTAAGTTCATCTCTGTTTTAGTTCTGTATTAACCAGAATCTCCACAGGTAGGTAGGTAATCTACAGGTAAGATGAAGTGATCCTCACAACACCAGGGGTTCTGAGTCGACAATTGTGGTCACAGGACCCCTGACAATTTGAGGATGGAACAAAGTTAGTACCCGTATGGGCATACATACTGTATGTATACTTAAAGTAACGGCCTTCATATTTAAGCAGCTTTAGCGCAGATGAGGATGCACTAATTCATGAATACCCCTAATGAAAGAATTCATTTATAAATAGAATATACAGCACGAACATGTGTAGCGCTAATTCATGATTACACCAACAACTCCATATTTGTTGAGTGTGTTAAATTTTGAATACACCAATTAAATTATGTACATGACTACACATACAGTATTTAGGTCAGTATACTGTAGATCATAAATTTTTTGTGACACCTTAATTTTGCAAGACCGTCGTTAACTCTTCATTAGCAAGACAAAATTTTCACAAATTGTGGTTTTTGTATTATGTAATTATCCTATGAAATAATAATATATGCGAGAACAAAATTTTTGCGAGCACACTGACTCGTGTAACAGTACAAAAATAAATATAAAGTTCACGTGAATAAAAAGTGATTTACAGTATTTGTTAGCCACTATTATGTCTTTGTTGTCTGTAGATAATAATGACTATTTTACTTACTGGAGGTATTTACTGCATACCATATAATGTTTTAGCTGCTGGCATTCCTGACTTTCGATCACCAAAAACGGGACTCTATGATAATCTGGAAAAGTTCAATCTTCCAAATCCCCAGGCTGTCTTCTCCATTGATTATTTCAAGGTCAGTCTTGTGAGAGAGAGAGAATTTGCTGAGAATTCCTTATGACAATACATGTACATGTAATTACCTTTGTCAAATTGAGATGTTTTATTTATTCTATTTATTTAAGGAAAACCCAGTTCCATATTTTACAGTTAGGAAAGAAATGATTTTAGGAAACTTCAAAGTAAGTTTTTCAGCAGCCTTGATTAAATTATACTACTAAACTTAAAAATACTTAATGCAGAAGAGATTCTGCAATGCAGATATAATCTAATGATAAAAACTTTTTGAGTAGAAACGCTGTGAAAGGACAATTACATGTAAGAGTCTGGATAATTCTTATGACTCGTGAATCGTTTTTTAGCCTACACCATGTCACTACTTTATCAGAATGTTGTCAGAGAAAGGATTACTGCTCCGTCATTACACACAGGTATGTTCCATTAAGTATAACTAGCAGGTTAGGTATGTTCAATTAAGCATTGAATTCATATTTTGGGATGTCTTCGGTCCTATAACACACCTGGCTGTGCCGACAAATTGAATACCGCGCGTTAGCACCGAAGACATCCCAAAATATGAATTCAATGCTTACATTTACATTCTCTAATTTTCCTTTATCATAACTTTTTATTTCGTTCATGTTTAATGTGAATTAAGTGCCCTTCGGTATTTGTGTTCTCAATAAACGTAATAGCCTTTCGTGACGTTGGAAAGCCGTTTGTGACATTAAAAAGTTAAATAACGCAAATAAACATTGCGAGCAAAAAATTGACAAATTCATTTTTAAAGCACGTTTGTTGCATTTTATGCTAATTTTAAAAGGGTAGTTTTTTAAAAATGAAATTGGGTGAAAACAATATACATTTTGGTGTTCCTAAATATTGAAAATGCATGTAGTTCCTACTGTGTATTCTACCACGCTGTGACAAGGTTTTGCGTGTGTTATAAAAATTTGAAAAATGTTGAAAGTGGATTTCTAATGGATTTCATAAAGAAAATTACATTGAATGTAAATATTCAATAATACATCATAACAATAAGATACATTCAATCTTATTAAACACATATATGTTCAATCCCATCACACATATGTATGTTCAATCCCATTACATACAGGTTTGTTCAATCCCATACACATAGGTATGTTCAATCCCATTGCACACAGATATGTTCAATTCCATTACACATAGGTATGTTCAGTCCCATCACACATAGGTATGTTCAATCCCATCACACAGGTATGTTCACTCCCATCACACATAGGTATCTTCACTCCCATTACACACAGGTATGTTCACTCCCATCACACATAGGTATGTTCAGTCCCAATACACACAGGTATGTTCAATCAATACATACAGCATCACAATAAGATACATTCAAACACATTACACAAAGGATGTTCAATCCCATCACACATAGGTATGTTCAATCCCAATACACACAGGTTAGATTAAATCCCATTACACATAAACATGTTCAATCCCATCGTGCATAGGTATGTTCAGATCCATTATATACCGTGAGGTATGTTCAATCTCATTAAACACAGGTTTGTTCAATCCCAATACACAAAGGTTAGATTCAATCCCATTACAAATAGGTATGTTCAATCACATTACTTACCGCAAGGTATGCTCAATCCCATTACACATAGGTATGTTCAATCCCATCACACATAGGTATTTTTAATCCCATTAAACACAGGTTTGTTCAATCCCATCACACATAGATATGTTCACTCCCATCACACACAGGTATGTTCAATCCCATTATACATAGGTATGTTCAATCCCATCACACATAGGTATGTTCAATCAATACATACAGCATCACAATAAGATACATTCAAACACATTACACACAGGTATGTTCAATCCCATAACACACAGGTATGTTCAATCCCATAACACACAGGTATGTTCAATCCCATCACACACAGGTATGTTCAATCCCATTACATACAGGTATGTTCAATCCCATTACACATAGATATGTTCAATCCCATTATACATAGGTATGTTCAATCCCATCACACATAGGTATGTTCAATCCCATTATACATAGGTATGTTCAATCCCATTATACATAGGTATCTTCAATCCCATTACATACAGGTATGTTCAATCCCATTATACATAGGTATGTTCAATCCCATTACACACAGGTATGTTCAATCCCATTATACATAGGTATTTTTAATCCCATTACACACAGGTATGTTCAATCCCATCACACATAGATATGTTCACTCCCATCACACATAGGTATGTTCAATCCCATCACACATAGGTATGTTCAATCCCATTACACACAGGTATGTTCACTCCCATCACACATAGATATGTTCAATCCCATTACACACAGGTATGTTCAATCCCATCACACATAGGTATGTTCAATCCCATAACACACAGGTATGTTCAATCCCATCACACATAGGTATTTTTATTCCCATTAAACACAGGTATGTTCAATCCCATCACACATAGATATGTTCACTCCCATCACACACAGGTATGTTCACTCCCATCACACATAGGTATGTTCAATCCCATTACACACAAGACTAGTACCATGACAGGTATGTTCAATCTCGTCACACATACTTTTATGTTCAATCCCTTTACACACAAGACTAATACCATGACACACATGGAGGTACATTCAATCCAATTTCACATATATAGGTACCATTATAACACTACACAGTTTTGGATAAATCACAATGATACCTTCCATCTTATTACAGCTTGTACTTGAACATATTCAGGTTCATTTATTTCCATATTATATAATATACTTTAAAAAGTTAAACCATTGATCAATCAATTTTTACAGAATATTGATGCCCTGGAGCGGACTGCTGGGATTGATCCCGATTTAATGATGGAAGCACACGGGTCGAACAGGGTTGGGCACTGTTTGAACTGCTCCTCAGAATATTCACACAAGTGGATAAAAGGTCCTCTAAACAATAGGCAAATCATATTTATCATATATTATAAGATTTTTTTGTTAATTGAGTTACTCTTTTTTATTATACATGTATATTTCTAGACATTTTAAGGAAAGATGGAATTCCAAAATGCACTGTTGAAGGATGTACCGGGACTATAAAACCAGGTTAGCATGAGATATTAACCATTAATTAAATAATATATTGGGTTGACCTCTTCTTTTAAATCATAATAGTTCAATAGGTAAAGTGGATTAAAAATTATGAATATCATGGTGTATGTCCCCTGGGGTCAGAGGGATGGGACCAAAAATAAAAAAAATCATGCTACAAAGGTTTAAGTTTTTCCTTTTTATTATAAACAGATACAGTCTTTTTTGGAGAGCAACTGCCAAAGAGGTTTACAGAGCTTGTAGATCAGGTACAATTTCAGGATATTAAATTGTAGTTCTATAATTTGTGTAACTTTGTTATACACAAATGTATAAGGTATATTGTGTAAATTGCTTCACCCAATATACTAATACTTGTGTAAATATTGACAGGACTTTGATAAGTGTGACCTGCTTATTATTCTGGGAACATCACTAAAGGTCCAGCCATTTGCTAGGATAACCAGTAGGTACGTTGATCGTAACTGAATTTTGGTACTTTCTCCAATATTACAATGAATGTATAACCACTATCAAGGTTTTCTTATCTATTATAAATCTTGTACCCCCTACATAATGCAGATTAAAATTTCAATTAAAGTAAGCCTTCAACTGTAAAAGTCAGTGCATCTTGCAAAAGCCCAATACTTAATATATAAGCATCATTTGTTTTATTTTTCAAGTTAGTGATCAATGTATTTGAACACAATTCTAAAAAATGTGTGATTATATAAACATTAAGAGCTATATGAAATACATGAATATTTTTGCCCCCACAAAAGTCATAGTTTGAAAATTGTTTGAATTGTGCTGAATTGTATGAGATCTAAATTATTACAAAATATATTATGGTTTTGAAGTAGGTTTATAATCAATTTTTGTTTCTATGACGTCATAAACTATTAATGGATTTTGAGCTATTTTTCAGATAGCTGCAGATCTGTAGCGTTATGGTTTTATATATTTGTCTTTGACCACAACACTACAGATCCCGTAATGCAAAAAAGGTGAAATTTACGGCACAATATTTTTTGCACACTTTTGGAGAGAAACTGCGCTTGGTGACTTTTACTCAAAATAACAATGCAAATACAAATACTCCGGAAATTTTGGATTTACTTCATTTTCCTGCAGATGTCAAATCAAACATATGGCATCATGTCTGATGAAAATATTTATGCAATACTTTGAAGTCTGCAGATATAATCCTGCTTTTGAACATAAATATATATGTCTTCAACGTTTGATTTGTGGGGAAAATATTGGTCTTTTCCAAGTATAGTTCTTAAAATAAATTGGTTACTGAATTTTTTTCAGAGTCCCTGATGAAACGCCTCGATTGTACATCAATTTGGAGAAAACTGGGACAGAGGCGGTATGTAAAATCTTGCAAGACAACCTGAAAGAGCTTCGGAGGGCTTGATTTCTAGGCTTTTTTTCTACAGATCTTTAAATACTAGTATTCTTCATTATCTCTTCTGGTCAGAGACCGGAGGAGCTTATGCGAGAGTAGGGTGTGCGTCTTCATGCAGTCCGCCCATCTACCTGTCTATAAACAATTATTTAAAACATTAATACTTCTAAAGTTTTGGTACCAAATTTTGAAAATAACTTAGCACACAAGTAGACTACACTAAGATGCATAATTCTATTTATTGTTTTTTTATTTCAGTGAACAAGGTTGCCATGGTTACTGAAAATAGAAATTTCTGTGAAGCACATGTATTTTTAAAAAATGCTATTCATTCCACATGCAGTTTTTGTTTAATTTTAATATTAGTTGGGCTAGTTGGCACACAGAGACTTCACTAAGCTACTCAGATCTAATTATCAATTTTTAATTTCAATGAGCAGTTTTTTCCTTGGTAAATAAAAATAGAGCTAAAATACTTTCATTTGCTACTCCTGCTACAGTTTTGATCTTATTTTAATATAACATGCCATACAAGTAGATAAGACTAACCTTCAATAATAATGATATTTTTATTTCAGTTAATGGTGTTGCCATCATTACTAATAATAGAAATATTTGTTTAATACTTTTAAAGTGCTACTCCTCCAACAGTTTGATCAGATTTCAATCAAACTAGGCATGCAAGTAGAATAGGCTAAGCTAAATGATACTGTGTATTCACTGTTTTAGATTTTGATGAATAGTGTTGCCATGGTCACCAAAAAAAAAGAAATATATGTAGATTTCTTTTAAAAGGCTACTACAGTCTACAGTTTTATTCTGATTGCAATAAATCTTGCTGAAAAAAAAGCTGAACCAATAATCATTATTATGTTCCCCAAACGAAGTTGGGGAACATATTGTTTTTACTCTGTTTCTTATTAAGGTCTTCCGTCTTCACGGAAGACCTTATAGTGATTCTATTGTTTCTTATTATTATTATTATTCTTTTTTTTGACAAAATTTTGTGCAGGCGATTTCTCGAAAACTATTCAGCGGTTTTTCATGAAACTTTCAACAAATATGTGTCATTACATGAAGTTGTTACATCTGAAGAGAAATTTGGAAAAATCTCTTCTGGTGCCAAGTTATGGACAATTTTCTGATTTTAAAATGCGATTTTGTTGCCCCTTTTTTCCGAAAATGGCTAGGTATATGATATGGAGACTTATTGGAGATGATAGATCATGACTTTCTGGTTTGCAGAATCACCTTTTCGTGCGTCGTCAGTACTTCCGGTCGTTACGAGATGCAAATTAAAAATAATCGTATTTTCTAACTTTTGTTTTTCAATATTTTTCATTTATTTTTGGTATGTTAATAGAAACCCTCCTCATAATGCTTACTATATAATTTGTTTGAATGTCTATAAATCTAAACTCTAGATATTAGCATTCAAAAATCTGAAGCGGGTCCAAAATGGCGGCTGTCTCAATCAACGCCGACATTTCGCAATAGGGGTTTACGGTGGCAGCCGAGCGTTTGCTTGAACGAAAGTAACATAAGAATAAATGAAATATAAAGGAGTACTTGGACTGTCACGTCGTAGTTTCGTTGCAGTTCTGTGTCAAACTAACGTCTTCTATAATTGGTTTTGGCTGGCTTTCAAAGTAGAAAAAGAAAAGACTAAATGTGCAAATGAAATTCGATACCTAATATCTTTTGTGCATCACGGAAAAACAGATCTTAAATCATACTTATACGTAATACTTTCTCAAAAAAGAATATCAATTAATAGTGTCAGTATATATCTTAACCATTGTTTTTCCTATACACATTTATGTCATAATAAACTAATAAATAATACAAAAATAAGAAAACGATTTTTTTTAAAGATCGCTTCATGGAGTTTATTTGAGCATTCTTGTCTCAAAGACCTGATTCAAGTTATTGAGCATAAATGATATCTGATTCCTTGACCGTCGTAGGGCGAGCCATGTTCTTCGGCGAAACTTTTCAACCTTTTTCGATTAACTAATCGGGATAGTTCACTTTGGGGATAAACAGGAAATTGAAAAAAAATCATAACCGTTTTACCGCTTAAGTGTTACATGCATATATACAATAAGGAATTTGTGAAATGTTTTAAATATACTTTCTAAATCTCGAATCTAATGCTATAAGAACGTTCTTTTTTTAATTTCATTGAAGCTATCACACCTATTTAATAGAAAATTCCAAAGAAAAGGCGCAAGATTAACTCGTGGCGTTTGGCGCTAAATTTCGAATAGTGACCCGTCTTTCATAATTTTAAGAGAGAAGCACTGTTTCCTTAATATATTCAAGTAGATTTAGAGTAGAGGTCCTGATAGCGTAATATTTAGTGCTTTTGAATTTCCTGCTGGCGACTTGGGTTCAATCCCCCTTGTGTGCAAATCTCTTTCTTTCTTTTTTTTTTTTTTAATCTTTTTTAAGCTCAATTTTACGTTTTCTTTCCAGAATCGGACGGAAGACCTCTCGTTGCTCGCAACGAGTTTCATATCTAGTTATTAAGGTCTTCCGTCTTCAGCGGAAGACCTTCTTGTTATTCTTAGGTTTCTTTTCCACTATTTTTATTATTATTATTATTGTTTTTTTTTCTTACCGATTTTGTGCACGCGATTTCTCGAAAACGGCTGGATAGATTTTCATGAAACTTTCAGGACTGATAGAACATCAAACAAAGCTGAAAGTAATTTTTTTGTTTTGATGACGTCACTTCCGGTTTTGAGATTTCCGCGATTTAGTGATTTTTAGGGGGTCTCATTGTCCATCATTTTTCTCGAAAATGCCTTAAGACAGAAACATGATATTTTCAGCGATGATAGAACAACGTGTGCTCTTTTGTCACACACCACTCTTTTTCTCCGGAAGTGCCGCACGTCGGCGCTCGCTAGGGCTCGAAAAAAGTTCTATCAGGGACTTAGAAATTTTGACACCTTTTCTGCAATATCTTTTTACATGTTAACATTTTGTAAAGACATATAGAACAAAACTTGTTGAGAATATCACAATCTTTCGAAAGATATCAACGATAAGGCGCTGGCCCCTATAATAAAGGGCCAAAAAGGGCCAAAAGTTTTTCCTTTATATCTCAAAAAGTATTGAGAATTTGTAATACGTCAAAGAAACAAAGTTGTTAAAAATGTCAAGCTTTATCTAATGGGCTCGTCAAAATTCGTCCGGCGACGTCACTTCCGGTCAAACCGGAAGTAGTCAAAAATTGCATATTTTTGCCGTTCTTGACAGGTTTTTGGGTAACATATGTCACTGGAAGCTTAAATCTTAATTTTCCGTCCGTCGACGTCACTTCCGGTCAAACCGGAAGTAGCCAAAAATGGCTTAATATTGCATTAATTAATATAGATTTGGAGGATTAAACCATTTTTGAACTTCATTACTCTTTTTTTTTTTTAAATGAAAGTTACAGATGCACTTCCGGTCAAACAGGACGGAAGACCTACTCGTTGCTTTGCAACGAGCTCGGCTCTAGTTAAGTCTTCCGTTCACAACGGAAGACTTATAGTGTTTGTATTGTTTCTTTTTATTATTATTATTATTATTCCTCCCAAATTTTGTGAGCGCGATTACTCAGAGATGGCTGGATAGATTTTCACAATTTTTCTCATGTAAGTAGGTTGATATATGAAGTTTATATAAAATTCCGTTTTTTGAAAAATTCACTTCCGGTCCGAAGTTATGGCCGATTTTCGAATTTTAAAATGGACTTTTGTCCGGCAGTTTTCTCGAAAACGGTTTGAGGTAAAGATAAGAAATTTACAGGAGTATTAGATCATGATATTCTATTTGTTTTAAAGTTGTTTTCGTGTGTTTCCAGTACTTCCTGTCCGAACCGGAAGTGAATTTGTTTTTGGTCAATTTTTGATTTTTTTGTTTTTAGATATTTTTTCAAGATATTCTTATGTAAAACAGACATTTTTCTACAAATACTAAATATATAATTTGTTTTTAAATCAGATTCCGCATTTTGTATATTTTCGGTACCGAAATTTTCTCCATTTACGTAGTATGTATAAGATGGGCAAAGAAAGATAACTCTGACCTGTGAATGAGAATAGAACTTTCGAGATAAAGGCGGAAATAGTATTGATGACGTTAGGGACATATATACGCTCTCCAGATCAACATATTTACACATTCAATATTCTCTCTTTTGCATGTTACTTAATTCACTATATGCATATTAGTTTAAATTTGGCTGTGTAGTGTTAGTCTGTATATTGAAAGTTTTTGATTTACAAATTTATATCTAAAAAAAATATCCGTTCTGTGTCAACTAAGCACTTTGAAGAAAATAATATTGTACGCAGTATACATTACAGCGATATATATACAAATTATTCTACAAAAATACTAAACATATTATTTATTCAATCGGATTCTGCATTTTGGAGATTTAAGGTTCCGTCAATAAATTCATTTTCTCTATTTACGTAGTGACAATGAGCAAAGATAGATAACTCTAACTTGTAAGTGGGAATAGAACTTTCGAGATAAAGGCGGAGGTAGTATCCATGACGTCGCAGACGTCTATATCCACACTTTTCACATAAAAAAAATAATTAGACTTTGAGTTTCCATATCCACTTCTGCATGAAAGATTACGTTGGTTACTGCTTTCAGTATATGCATAGTTTAAAGATGTCAGCGTAGTGTAAATCTGTAATGTCTGTTATAATTATATTTTTAAAAAATATTCTTAATTCATTCTCTAATTTGAATGCGAAATTATCCCGTATTCCGAGTTTTATTTTCGATTCGAAAATATTATATGTACTCAAAAGGGAACTGAGAGATAGAAGAGGTGTAAAGCCTTTAGAAATAAATTGATATCTGCAACTTAAAAGAAAGAAAATCAATCTATAGATTGGATTTGGTTTTAACACGTATATTTCATTGATTAAAAGTCTTATAGTGTTATT